GCGCAGAAGGTGGCACGTGACAAGGTGATCACATGCGTCTTTAATCCTTGTTAACATGCAACCCCATGCGATTGTTAAGTGCACTTGTACCTACCTGTAGGTTAAGAAATAGCAACGGGTTTTAACATCCTTAGTAACCTAAATAAACAACCACCCACTCTCCGCAAGTCAACATTATTACGAAAAAATCACATGGTAATTTATAAGACAAATACTAATCAAAGAAACGCATTATTTTGGAGGATGTTCATTATTAATTATAATATGGTAAAGTAAAGGAAAGAATCTCCACATAAGTTTAACTTTTGTGGAGATTATTTCCTTTACTTTACCATACTATGGATTACTTCCTTTTCCTTCCTATAGATTATTTCCTTTACCTTTATCATACTACGGATTACCACAAGATATCTGCTACCACCACGGAATTTATTAATTATAATGTTATTAGTTGTGTAGTTTGAAAAATAAATATTTGGTAAATTCTTGGGGTACAGACGAATTTTCAGCGTCCATCTTCCTCGCGCCAAGGTATACAAGTGTATTGTTGAAATAGATATATCGCAAGCAATACCCAACAATATCGAATATCGTGCCGCAACAACGGAATTCGTGTGTTTTATATCGCAATAATGTCGTAAATTTTCTAAAAAAAAAATGAGATTTTATGGTGACCGATAAAACGCTGAACATACCACGAAATGTTACAGTGTTATTACTACCTCGTCCAAATTAATTAATCCAACATTTCTAGGTATGTTAATAGCTACGATAACACAGACACAGGATTTGTTTTCAAAATCGATAAAAATGTATAAACAACCAATTAATACCATGGACAACTTTTCAATTTGTTGGGTAAAAAGCTTCGGTGTTCATATTTCATGGTTGGTTCACATTTTTTGACAGTTCATCTGCCTTGCACCTTTCAACTCGAAACTGTTCGTATCATTTTCTAATACTGCGCTCAGATCACACATGAACATTTTTCAGTTCACTCTGTGTTACTGAACTATGATATGAATATAATTTCACTCTACATCAGCATTCTAAAAGCTTGATTAAGTATTTTAATTTCAACAAATATTAACTTTTGATTTACTACTAATTCACTTTTTATTAGAGTAACTTTCAATGATTAAATGTTTGTTTAATTTTATCAAATACGCTCAGTATCACTGGAACTATGTGGATTAATAACATTATTTCGTATGAGGAATCAGTGAGTCTCGGTGCGTGGCAGCCAAGGAGTATGATTGACTACAAGCATAAAGAATCATCGGATTAAACAATAAACTCAGTCCCCCAAAATAAAATATTAACTATAATCAGGACTAATGTCCGACTCGAAAAACCAAGTTGAATAAATATTATAAACCATCATTTAAAGTTCCAATTGTGCTGAATTTATTCGAAAACAAAAAAAATTGTTTAGCTAAAAAATGGAACAAAAAAAAGTTCGAAAGAATTCGTTTGTAGAGATGGAAAAATGTGTGTATTCTGTTGTTATCACCATCTTACACTTGTGTTTATGTCCGTTCGTGATCAAAAAAAATTACAAAGGAATAGAATCAACGTTTTATAAGTACTGAAATAACTTTTTTAAATTCTCTCAAAAATTGAAAGTTTCACGAAAAATGGTATTTGTGACAGGTCACAAATTGAAACGAATTAAAAGCAGGTCGACAGCCACAAAAAGTACCTGTAGAATTAAATTTTTTGGAGTTACGGGATTAATATATTCAAGCTGGAACGTTTCTCTTACATATGCATGTATGTACTTTAGCCCAACAGCTCTTTAAGTGCTACGGCCTACCAGCAGTGTCCCGGCCTTGCGGCCATGGGTTAAGGGGGCACATAGCCATCCCTACGCTGTATTCTGGTCTTCTCAACATGAGAACTGAGCTGGATATACTGGAACATTGCAAGGAGAGAGCATGAAGTGTGTGTAGCAAATGTCTATTGACGATTAAAAATAGTCATTTATCCGCAGTATAACATAATTATGGCAGATTTTATAACTTCAAAACATTGATGCTCGGAACATTGAGTTTTAAAACACATTTTTTCTTTCTAATCCGCAAAAAAATTGATTTTGAAAAATAATGAAACTATTTACAAACTAAAACAGTCTATTTTAAGGCATTTTAAAAAAATTGTAATTTTCGGAAATCCAGATAGTTTAAACGTTCTTATCGCTTAACGAGAAAATAATTATTTATTAATTACTAATAAGTAAATTATTAAGGAAAGAATTTGCTGCTCTTTTTGAGTCTAAAATACTTATATTCTATTTCAAGCAAAAATTACGTGAAAACTACTCTTTTTTAAAAAAATGTACATTAACTTATTCAAAAATTCTAATTTTCTTCTTCTCCAGTATCTTGAAATTTTAAAAAAATCAGAGTTAAACTAAAATCAAACATGTGCAATTTTAGTAAGGGTACTTCTCAGTGAGTGAGAAAAAGTATTAAATAAAACATTTAGAGCAGTTTTTCAGAAAATCTTGGTGTTAAATTGCGCTTTTCTCGTGGAATATTATGTGAAAATACTCGTACTCGAAAAAATTGTCAATGATATTATTTTAAGATCAAATTTCTAAGAACATACTTCGTTAAGAAAAAAAATCTCCATCTTTTATATTGTAGTTGTATATGTTGCCGGAAAAAAATGACTTTCATGATAATTGGACATGCGTTTTTTTAAGTGTAATTTGCTTCAAGGGAAATTTAAAGAAAATCTGAAGCCTTTTTTGAAAAAAAAGAAGAAAGAAATTGTTATTGAATCTTTATTCAAACTACCCAAAAGACATTAAAATATCCGTTTTAAATTCCAGGTGCTGCGACATCACCAGATCAATCTTGTTTTTAAAACTGCTCAGATTTCAATCAATATTGCGCGATGATGTACTAATATTTTCTTAATGTACAGCCTTTTTCCGTAATGAAATATATTCTTCAAATTTAATATTTAGATAAAATCAAGTACAAGCTTTTAAATAGTGAGTAGTAAGATTAGTTTTCAAGTAATTTTTGTGAAATGAAGACAATTTAAAAACAAGATTTTCTGAAAAGCTGTTCCCTTTTTTTCTTTTAATTTTTTGGACGGATACAGCTGCAGCACCACTACTTTTGCGGCTCCACTAAATTAATTGTATTTAGTATTATATATCTTTAAATTGTGAACTTTTTTACAACATACTATATTTTATTAAATATTATAACTGCATAATAATTATACTTTATTTCTCGCCTTAACCTACATGTTTTCTTTAGAGATTCGTGTGTCTAATGTTTACTCCCCAAATGTTTGGATGCTCTAATTTAAAATATTCTTTGCTTTCAAGACATTATTAATCTGCATCTCTGCAATTAAATAAAATTATAACTTAGGGTAAAACAACCCCCACCCCATAACTGACGTTGCATGAATGCCGAATCGTCACAAGATGAAGATGAAAGCGCCTGCGAGAAAGGCAACACACTTCACAGGAGTGTCCCGCAGGTCACATGCTAGGAGTGATTGGACATTATTACATAACAAATTAGGGAAATAATTCGATAGATTGTTTGTTTAGTGATTTCGAGCACGTCAGCTACTAGGGTCATTAGTCCCGTAAGTTTTTACTCAGGAGGAGGCGATGATCTTTCCCCCACTGTATGGCGAGATACGGCGCCAACTGGTTTTCCCAAACCAGGTATCTCTCACCAGCGGGGCACAGCCCCAGCCGGGACAAGTTCTTAGCTGCTGAGGGGCCCACGGTATGTATGGGAGTGTAGTGCGTGTTAGTGTGTTTAAGTAAGGAGTGAGGTTAGGACAAGGCATAGGAAGGAAAAATCGTGCGCGGTCTACAGCCCGTTTGTTCGGGTACTGCTCCGGCATTCGCCTGGTGTTGAACGGGGAAACCACGGAAAACTACGGATCAGAGCAGCCGGCCGTTAGAATTCTCCTCCAGACAGCGACTGAATTCGACGCAGCTAACAAGCTGGTGACGAAAGTCCTGCCGCAGTCGGGACTCGAACCTAGAACCTCCTGGTCAGAGGGACTGCAGTAACATTAGTTGATGCCCTTAGCCAGAAATAATTTGATTACTGTAATTCATTTAAACCAATAAGGTCGATTAAAGTTGTTAACTACAAAACAATCGAATGGCCTAAGCAGACACCTAAATATCCACGTGGAAAAGTAAAGGTCGAACCGAATAGCCGAGATCGCTAAGGCAGTGATGTCGTGGCGATCTCGAATCGAAGGATCCCGGTTTCGAATCCCGCCTCGGGCGTGGGTGTATTTGTAATCACCTTTCATGTTCATTCAATCACTTCATTAAAGAAGGATTAATGTTTTTTGCGGGAGCAGGAGGCCCTTGCCCTTAATGGGTTGCGCAGTTGGCTAATAAAAAAACAAAAACAAACAAGAGTACTGTGGCGTTACCAAATTTTATCATATTAATTTAATATTAAGATAGTTTTCTCCACGGAAAGAAAGTATGTCACAAGACTGGGCTGTCACAAAGAATCCTTTTCAACGGGCCCGCCGCTCGCCCGTCGCCAGCTGCCCCGCCCGCCCGCCAAATAGGGTGCCGTCCGCAGCAGACTTATTTACGACAAGCCGCCCGCCCGGCGCTCGCCCGTCACAGCCCTTCGGCGGGTGCCGATCCGCAGGGAAGGATCCCCACTCCCCCTCCGGGGAGCTCCCGCGCACTTAGCCAAACGACCGCCCGCGTCTTGGCCCGGAGACAGACCCTGCCTGCCAAGCTGCCCGCTCGGCGCTCGCCCGTCGCACGCCCTTCGTGTGGTGCCGATCCGCAAGAAAGACCTTCCCCCCCTTCTCGGGGAGCCCCCACGCACTTAGCAAAACAATGACCGCGTCAATGATTTAATAGATATTTTCATAACCTCCCTTCTCTTCCATCCATTCATTATAGGAATGAACCAGCGACCAGACTGAGCTAAAAGTTACAGTCCATGAGAGTGAAGCGAAGGCGACGAGCGAGTGCTGACCTTTGCGGAGGCGCGTGAGGCGGTTGATCTGGTCGTTGCGCTGCTGCGTGAGGGTGACGGCGTTGTTCTGCTGGCGCAGCCAGAAGGCCTGCGCGTTCTGCACCTCCACCTCCAGCTCGCGCAGGTCCGTCGTCAGCGCAGTCAGCTTCGCCTCCAGTGGATTGAACTTCCCCTGCGCCCACGCCGTTCAGCGTTCATTACATGTGTCACACACAGGAATCCTGGTAGGACGGACATCCTCCACTACGAACGAGTGAAAACGTTCGAAACGGTGCTCATAAATAATGTTAATTCTAGAGGAAATAGTTCGTTTTGAAATAAAATATAATATTACTTAAATTTTAAATCATTCCCCACAAATAGTTCCATATGAGTGTCATATAGGTCGGGTGACTCGAAAGTTTATTAATACTGTGAAGAAATTCGCAAATGACAGCACTTCCCTGAATATACTGATTCCCTCTAATGGTTGTCTCAGAATAAAAGTTATAATCTGCTAGTTCCTCAGTTGAGGTTCATCCTTGTTCAGTGGGCAACCAGGTGAATTTCCCGTCGCCTCCCAACACATGTAACTTAGTCATACGAAATTTCCCATTGTATACTCATTGACAAAACGTTCTCATTTTCGACCCCTCTAATTACCCTAGAAATTTAAAAAATACAGCGCCAAAATCTACAATTTTCCCATTTAATTAAATGTAAAACTTTATATAATAATAAAATGTACGGAATATTTAAGCTCAAATAATTCCATCTATTACCCCTATTATTATACACAAAATTACAGTAAACTCTACGACCATGGAAATTTTTTAAGCGTTGAGTGTTTTCGTGCTTTGCGTCTTGTCTAACTGGAGGCGCCGCGAGAAAGGAAAGATAACATAATTAACTGCATCACAATTAACTGGTATTTAGACGATCAAAATTGGAGCAAGCCCCTGTAAAATAAAACGCTTAAACACTACATGCCACGAGCTCAATCCTAAGACAGCATGGGCGTTATGCAGAGTCGGATTAATATTCTAAGGATTTTGAATACAAAACAATCGAATGGCCTAAGCAAACACCTAAATCCACGTGAAAAAGTAAAAAGTTTTGTTTGAAGATATACATTTTAAGTATCAGCACAAATTTTCAAATAGGTATATAAATATCTGATTCCTAATGATAAAAACAAACGAAAATTTATGAATCAATTTCAAGCATCCACTTCGTGAAGACAGATGTTTTTGGCAATTATAAGAGCAAATATTTTAAATGTGCATTGTTTGCTAAATTATGTTAACTTCTGTATTTTGTACACTTATTAAACTTTATTTAAATAGTAGTTGAAATTATGAAATCACCTGCAATTTTTTACAACCATTTTTTAAATGTTGTTTCATATTCTGAATTAAATAAATGTGTTACCTTTTTGTAGTTATTAAATTATTTGTTGAAAAATCTTTTTCAGCACTGTCCCTCTTCATTCACGGATGGAAAAACCCGCAAAGAGAAAGGTAGGCGGGCTGATATTTTTGGATCGAATCCGAATTCTAATGATGAAAATTTTTCCCGATTTAATAGTTTTTTTGTGTTAAAATTATTGATAGTAATATTATAATTGATAAAAAACAAAGAAAACTTAGCAGCTCACTTCTATACAACTTATTTCCTTAATTGTAAAGTAAATTCAATGATATTATTAACAATAATATACCTCTTCTTTGGTTTGAATTAATTAACCTAAAGATATAATATCTCCCCAAGATCTTCAATGTTATGCTCGAATACAGAAAAAGAATTCCATTCCGTGGTCGTGCTTGTGTGGAGTGAAGTGCGCTCACCCCGAGCTTGGCGATGAGGGCCTCGAGGCGGTTGTTGAGCAGCACGAGGCTGGCGGTGCGCTTGGCGATGGTCTTGGTGATGGTCTCCAGCTCCTGCTCCGCCGCGTCCACCTGGCGCTGCGCCTCGTCGTCCTCGCGCCGCATCTCCGCCAGGATCTCCGCGCCGCGCTGCAGCGCGCCCCGCGTGCGCGCCGTCTCCAGCTCCGTCGCCGCCGTCTGCTTCTCCGCCTGCGCACGACGCACTACATCGATGGCGATGTTTTCAAAACATCCATGCTTTTTGTCGAAACATAGATGATGTTTTTAACACCGATGATGGTTTTTAAACATCGATGATGTTTTTATCATCGATGTTTCTAACATCGATTATGCTTTTAGCATCGATGTTTTTAACGTCGATGATGTTTTTTAGCATCGAAGTTTTGTGATAGATTTTTTTCTTTTCCAATGTTTTGTTTCTGAATGAAAAATCCCCATAGTCTCAAGACTGTAAAAGTTAAAATAAGAAATAATAGTAACACAGTTATTCATCTCCCAATCATCAACCAAAGGAACGCTGTTTGCAATACCTTCAACGACCAAATTCTTTCTCCCGAGATAACCTCCACGCCCTTGTATTTCATCTTCATATACATTTCGCACATTGAGATATGGTCAACAAATTCGGTGTAGGTGTAGAGTCTACCCGTTCTCCTCATGCCCTTATTCAACGAATTGATACACACGAATACTGTCAAATTAAATGTTATTCTGATGACGCAAAAGTCTTTGAAAAACCTTTAAAATTATCTTTTTTTAAATACTAAAAAATACATAAAATGTTTATTCAATGAATTTACAATTTTAAATAAAACTAATTCATATAAAATTATATTTAATATAATGTATTTATTTTAGAAGGAAATATAATCCTTAGCTCTGATCTTTCGTCAGTTTTGAAAGGTCGAGAAAGTTTCTGAAGATTCCTCTAATTTTGAAACTGCGATAAAAAGAATCCACTGCAGTATTGAATTTTGTCATGAACGGATGACACAATTAAAACTTTGTGTTCGTGTGTCATTGTAAATTCATGAAACATTGACTAAAGAAAAAATACACAAATGGGTAAAAATGATGCAAATGTAAAAAATGACCAAAAAATTGAAAGTGGAAAAAAATGACCCAATAACTGTACATTTCTATGACCTACACGTCGTGATAAACATTCATTTGCAAGTTAGCTACATCTAGAATGCACCAATGAAAACACGACATGTTATCAGAATCCGCCCCCGCTTGGGGTGAGAGCGCGGCCCACCTCGACGACCAGCAGCGCCTGCTCGCGCGTGCGGTCGCGCAGCGTGGCGGCGACGCGGCGCAGGTACTGCGTCAGCTTGTCGTTGCGCAGCTGCTCGCTCAGCGTCTCCAGAGACTCCTGCTCCAGCGCGCGCTTGCGCTCCACCAGCTTGTCCAGGTCGCGCTGCAGGTCCTTCGCCGTCTTCGCCAGCTGCTGCGCCACCTGCCAAACAGAACCGGGGTCGTCCAGCAGAGCGCGCTCGAGTCGCGTTTCTCGCTGTTTAAACGGCGTTGTAACTCCAAAACGTTATTTACGAAGTGGAAATGTAGACAAAAGAGAAATTAAACTATGATTTTATGGAAAACAGTGTCAAATACGTAGTAATTCACGAAATCCAGGATAGCATATCCAGCAAACACGGTTTTTTAACGTTTTAATATTCGTGATCTTTTTCATTTTTCATGATTACCGTTAATAATTAATTTTGTTGACTGAAGGAACAATTTGTATTAAAAAGTTTTACGTAAATAACTTTGAGTAACTAATGTATTCTATCGATATAGCAAAAACTGTAAAAAGCAAATACCGAATTGATTATTTAATTGATTCTTGAAGAATAATTTGTTGACGAATGGAAAATCAAATACAAATATTATATTTACATTATTATCATTATTTAATGTCAATAATCTAGAATTGCATAGTCAGAACAATGAGATGTAAAAATTTGGGTACAAAACTTGTTTTCGATATGATTATATATGTATATATATTATAGTAGTATTATTAGTATATATATCATATAATACAAGTTTTGTCATAATCGTTATTCCATAAAGATTATGGTCGTCTATATACTGCACCGTAGAAACAGGCGGCATTCAAATCCGTGAATCGAAGAGCGTGGAAGAGGGGCTGACCTGGCGCGCGTTGGCGATGTCGGCGTCGGTGGCGCGCACGAGGGCGGCGGCGTCGGCGACGCGGCGCTGCAGGTCCTCGCGGCGCGCCAGCAGCTGCGCCTGCGAGCGCTCCTTGGCCGCGCGCTCGGCCTCGCACGAGTTGAGCGCCGCCTGCACCTGCTCGCCGCGCTCCATCTCCTTGTGCGCCGCCTTGCGGTAGCCCTCGGCGTCCTTCACCAGCGACTGCAGCTTCTCCTCCAGCGCCTTGCGCTCGCGCAGCACACCCTCGTACGCCAGGTCGCGCCGGCTCAGCAGCACCACCACGCTGCGCCACGCCGCCACCAGCCGCTTCTGCTCCAGCTGCAGCGCCTGCGCACCGCACACGCGTGGGCACGGGGGCTTTCAGTCTTTGTCTAGTGTTTCCAGACGCTTCAACTGAAAAAGTCAATACTCCCGTGTGTGAGTGTGTGTTTTTACTGCTGGAGGTGACGGTGTTCTTCTCAAGCTGGAAGGCGAGGTCCTGCAACGACCTACACGTCAACTTGCGAGGGTTTCCCCCACTAGCAGGGCACCACTTCACTCGGACAAGCGCTAAGCTTCTGAGTGGTATCCCGGCATGTGTGGTAGGGGAGGTATTTTAAGTGTAAGTGCGCGTAAATATCGGGTGAGTATAGGTCAAAGAGGAAGAATTGATTGCGCCCGATCCGTGGCCCGTTTATTAGGGTATTGTTCCGGCAGTTGCCTGGTATTGATCAGAGAAACCACGGAAAACTACCACTCAGAGCTGCCGGCAGCTAGAATTTTCCTTCACACAGCGACTGAATTCGGCCTTACTATCTAGCTGATCGAAAATTCTGCTACTGTCGGGACTCCAACCCTAGATCAGAGGCACTGCAGTAATATCTACTGATGCCCTGTGTCACCTTCGCCGGTGAGACCTTTAGTACCCGGCACCGCGCCGTAGGGCAAGCACCCCTGCACAATGACCATTTAAACTGCCCATGGAACGCAAACCATTGTTCTCTTCTCAAACAAGTATAATGAAGATGCAAGAATGTCAAACCGCGCCCGCAAGAGCTACTTGCCCGCCTGGGAAGCCGAAGTGCCTACGATCAAGGACAACTTCCCCTGACTACGCTCTCATTTCCCCTCTAAATCCAGAAAAGGATTTACACAAGCTGCGTGCAGTTTGCATAGTTTATATGTTACAAAATATATCGTTTTTTTTAACAAATCGTGCGCTATTGAAAAATGAAAATCTCTTGGAAGAATAGTTTAAATTAAACTCCGTGCTAACGTTGAAAGTATTTATCTTTTAATATATTTAATGCATTTATTCTCTTTAGTATAAAGCATATGTAAAATAATCCTTTAATATAAAGGCATATTAATACTGTTTATTTGAAAAGGCCAAAGTCAAATGTACGCATTTGGAGCCACCCTGATAGCAGGGTCGGATTTAAGCAGAAATTGCTTAGGGGATAGAGGGTGACGCCTGTTGAGGCTGCGAAATATTCGTAGATACGTTGGGAGAGCAATTACCAGAAACTGTAAGGAACGTCGAATTTTTCATCAGATAAGAGTGTTTTGGAAAAGAAACGACACAATTGAGAAAGATTGTTTCTTGGAGAAAGAATCAACGAGTGTTGAAGACACTGTCCTCTGCCCAGACGACATCAAATGTTTCGTTACGAATTTCGACGTTTTTTTACTGTATGTTAGGCTGCAGAAAAGTTGCATGGCACACCCTGAATCGAACTTTGAATGCCTCCAAAACGTTTTTTTCTGAGCTTTCTGCACTTCGTTTCTGATGATAATGCGAGCGCGTGGCGTCCAAAATGGAAATCGCTGGATTCTCGAAATTTTGACAATGTTCACACATTTTTCCAGACGAGGACTGCCCAGGAGCTGATGCGATCTTCCGGTAACGCTCCGAACTAACAGGAAGCAGTTGACAATCTACGTCAAGGGACTTTGTACCAAAGAAGTGAGTATTTGGTCAGCTGGGAAGAAATTTGCGTGGCTTTTTTGATTTAATAAGATTATTTCCTAGGCGCGAAGTTTGAAATGTATATTTCCTCTGAAAGCTTTCAAAGAGCATCAAAATGCTTTATTTGAAACGAGGCGCCATATTTGAAACAGTTTGGCGGTCAATTGGCAACAGCACCCACGGAAAATTTTCTTAAAATATTCGAAACAAAAAGAAGGCCTAAAACACTTTTGTAGGTAAAATAGTTAATAGATAAAAGGGGGCGGGGCCCGGAGACGCACCTCAATGTCGGCGCCGGCGTCGGCTGCGGCCTGGCCAGCCTCCTTGCGCTCCTGCTCCTTGATGCGCAGCTTGCCCGCCAGGTCGGCCATCTGGTCGCGCAGGTTGGCCACTTCGGCGGTGAGCTTGTAGAGGAGCGCGTCCTGGCGCCGCTTCTCCTCGGCCATGGTGCGGATCTGCTGACGGTCCTTGGCGGCGGCGCGCTGCGACACCGCCAGCTCCGCGCGCATCTCCTCCGCCCACTCCGAGAACTGCCGCTCCTCCGCCACCAGCTTCTGCAGCGACGTGCTGAGCGCCGCCTCTGCGCACGCACGCCACAGCAAGGCCTCGAGACAACTGCCTTTCGGCACCGCCTTCCTAGCGTCTCTGAGTAACCAATTCAAACTCTTTGGAAAGGAATATGTTGTTTTGCTGTATTTAAACTTTTTTTAAATTACGGATTTAATCATTAAATAATGTACGAGTATTGTTAAAGGTTTATATGTGAAGTATGAGGGAGAATTATACAATCTGTGCTCGTGTTTTTGAGCATACGGATCCTTACCCACTGACGTTTACTATTTTCAGTTGAACTATCTTACCCGTGCGAGAACTCTCGCATTTATTTGCTCTTCCTAAACCTCGTCTGTCTACGCAAACCACAGTGTACACAGAAAACGAAAATAGTATAAGATAGAGGAATCTAACCCTTCTAAGCGTGACGTCACAAAATGGCTACCATCACCAAAAGTTGAAATATAGGTGACACTGATAGTATCGATTAGTGCCGAACCAACAAAAATTTAATAGAACGTCCAAGAATATATCATCTTATAGATTGCCATGTAAAAAACGTTTTTTTGAGACTTTTGGCCTAAAATTTTTAGTTTTTACGTCCCTAAAACGCTTCGTTCAGGAGTTATTTAACGGTATAGCTGACTGAGTGCTGATGGTTGCATTTGACATGAACATTTGGATGCGTTTTTTAAACAAATTCATATTTTTAAAGTCAAAGTGCAATTCATTACGTCTCCGTGAAATTTTCTTTCTTTATATACGTCATTTATAAAGGTCGGTTGCGTATGAGAGCCACAAAAGGTACGTGCAATATTGAAATAATATAGAAGACGAGTATGAATAAATGGTAAATTATGGAATAATTCAATAAAAAACATATTACTAATAAATATTAATTGTGAAAATAATTACTTAGAAGACTTATTTTAACCTCTGACTAAATAATAAAGTTCTTAAATGGAGCACATATTACACAGATGAAGCGGTTAAGGTCTGAATCAAATTTAATCCCAAATTAGCCGGTTAATGTTGGTTAAACTTAGCCGGTTGTCTGTACTTGGCGTGACATCCCGCGCATTGACCAGGGCCTATCAGCAGCGTCCCGGCCTTGGTGCAAGGGAATACGTGTGGTTAGCACGAAGACATCCCTACGCCATATTCTGGTCTTCTCAACCTGAGAAGTGAATTTTTTCAATCGTCACACAGCAACTGCTACATTACAAGGAAAACTGCACACTATAATGTTGCCCGACCGGGAATCGAACCCTGGGTCGCGACATAGAAAGCAAGCACGCTGACCAATGAGCTAAACCGCGAGGGCAGCCGGTTAAAGTTTCCTTATATAAATGGAGGGATAAACTCCGAAGTTCGAACAGCTTCCAAGCATACTTTGAACTTAAGCCGGATGAAGATTAAGATTAGCCAACACAAGGCGGGCGGAGTAGGTGAAGTGCGTTACGATGAAGAAGGGCAACAGATATGAGATGTGAATAGACTACTGGTAGGAACATTGTAATGCTAGTAAAGGACGAGGAGAGTAGCTCCGAATTCTATAGTGTGCATGTCCAAGTATCTATATGAAAGCCTACCACCTAACCTAATGTCACTTATGACTTAGTAAAAGCTTCGCTACGCATTTTCGATTTGCTTGGCGAGTCTAATGTCTTCAGGCTTCGCTATTTACATAAATTAATAGGATTTGCGGAACGTATAATTTTCAATTCACTTTATGCCAAAATAATTCTTAAGGACACCCTAGATCCTTCCCACTCGTACAATCGCCTTACTTAGAACCCTGTATCCAATTCCAACACTAGCCGCATGAATTTCGAAATAATCCATTCATCATCATTCATGCAGCTTAATCCAAACCGACTGGATAATGTGCGAATTATCGGGCTACTACTAACATTACTCGTATTTCGGACATACTACTTAATTAGTGTATTCAATATTCATATGTTTAGGAGTATATCTCCCAAACGAGGGATCAAATTTAAATACACTTAACAAAAACAAAATATGCGTAAGAAATGTTGATGACTTAAAACCAAAATACTAATCGCAGGAAACAGAATAATAATGAAAATTTTCCCCAGAAGTCTGCCCCAACACACAAACTTTTAAACGGTTAGTTCAATTTAAATTCAATTCGCTGATCTCAGCAAAACTGGATAGCGGGATAGGTAGAGCAAGTGTCTTATGTGCAGAGAAATTGCGTCGAAGTTGGCTTTTTCAATTTACCTTGTTCTTCCTCCCTCGCAAGCGCCTCTGCAAATTCATTGCGTTCTTTCTGAATCTTCTCAACATCTTCATCTTCTTGCTGGCGTTGAGAAGAAATATGATCTAGCTCGCTGTGACATTTTTCAAGCATACGCTGTTGCACTGACACTTCTTGCTGTCGTTCGTACAATCGTACTCCAGCATCATCGCGTGCTTGGGTAGCCTGCTTTAAATCTGTTTCCTGTCAAACAAAAACAAAACCCATTGTGAAGTGTCTGTCAGCAAATACAATGCTCAGAACTGTAAAACATTCTCACCAAGTCTCGAAGTTCTTCGGTCAAGCGAAGATTTTGGCGTTCAAGAAATGCACGTAATGTCTGTTGGAATCGCTGCATCAACGGGTGATCGGGTTCCAAAACACCAGGCTCATCAGGCCTATCGGGTCTCGCCCAGTATTGGCGCAATTCAATGAAAGAAGCACCGGGTGCTGGATGACGAATTTTGTCTTCCTCTTTTGGCACCAAACCATGAGGCTCCGTCGAAGGAGCTTTCTTGCTGTCATCCCCTGCAGGCCGTTTTCCCCTGTCTGCTTCATCGTCAGACATCTTGCACGAGAACAAATACTGAACAGAATTCTACAAGCACTTTGTTTTTAACAGTTACACACGTATTGCGTGTGTTTATTTATGAATATGTTGCTATGGCAACAACGGGACTCACGGCAGCATCTTTTTGTTTCCTCTTTGCTAGAACTTGAAATCGACAGCCAGCTCGGACCTGAAAAAATGAAGAATAGAGTCTAGTTGCCATAGTAACATGCGTATATTGCCAACTTCACATATGTTAATATTTGTAGCCATTCAAGAAGCATTGTCAGTCGAGAATAATGACTCTTGTGAATTTCTGAATTTATTGACTTTTTTTAAATTTAAAGCGTTGTGTTAACACATCGTAGTGATAATTTAATTTTTGGAAGGAAATGGACTAATAATGCCATCGGCAACAGTAGGGTTATGAGGGATAAGATCGGCTCTATGAAAACGCAGGGTAGGCGACGGGAAGAATACTGTGTTCGTGGTAATGTCTCAAATAATGTCGTGTTGAATAAACGAAAATATTAACGCGAAAAATTTAAAAAAAAAAAAAATCTAGTAGCCTTCAAGAGAATTTGGTTCATAACCAATCGCTTGTAGGTACTGGCATGTGAATATGCAGGCTTCGTGAATTGTAACCTGTGTAAACGTTTTTGTACTACGAAACCATTTGAAATATTGTTAGTGAAATATTGAAATTTGAATCAGGACTGGGATCAAAGTAATCATAGTCAAAATGTATATATGCAGATGGACTTACAAAATCGTACAACATTCTAGACAATACTTATCTCTCAGGAATTGCAGTTCACAAATTTCTAAATATTCTTATGACAAACAATCGCCAAGTACACAGTACATCAAAATATTTGAAATGCCAATAATTAGAACATGCAGAATAATCAGTCGTTTTAAATTATATCACACAGCACTCACAGCATTTGTTATTCCATCATCTGTATTAATGTATTCTACAGGTTTCCTTGAAAACGTCCCAATAGAACCTATGGTGATTGGTGAGTATATAATAATATGTTTAGTTCTTAAACAAAAAGTGAAGGAATTTATGACCCTGAAATATTAATTACTCTTTTCCATTTTTGTGGTCTTGTATTATGATTGTTTTTGCAAAGATTTAGTAGTTATAGAACGTATTCACTTGAATTTGTAGGTTAATTTCTTCGTGTCTTCTTTTAATGTTTATTAAATCTCTGCTAAATTATTTGTCTCTGAAGTACTATTTCAAAATTATGTTTGACTGCCAAGTAAATTTTTAATATTTGCTGAACTAAGAGAGATTTGTGTTCTTGTCAATTTTGTTTTGTTTTCAGGCCTGGCAGGGTGTGCAATTTTTTATGGTTCAGGTTACTTTTTAAACAATTTGATTGGTGCAGTCTATGTTAACAAATCACTAGATACTGTAAAATTGTCATACATTGATTTCTGGGGACAGAGAATGAACATGGAATGCCCAATAAATGACATTGTCCCTCTCTCTGATCAGCCCATCGAAAAGAAATTATTTAAGATGACAAAGGTAGAGCTTCATTCTTCACCTCAAAAATTGAAGATTGCCACTGAACATGGTGTAATTCTCCTGAATCGTGCTTTTGATAATGTCTTTTTTAGAGTTAACTCTAATATTCAGAAGAATTCTCAACATCAAGAAAAATAAATTGATTAAATTTTAACATTAATGACACACCACCCTAAGAATTCCCCTCATAATATTTAAGAATAAACAGAAACCAGTTTTGGTTTTAACAAAACTTGTTTAACAAATCTGAGGACTGTTAAATTATTTTGTTCTAGAACATGTAAGAACCTTAGATATTTTCATATACTGTTTATTTATTATTTTGAACTGTTATGTACAATTATATCATCTATTGAGAGAAACTTTTTGTAGTGAAGACTCCAAAATAAAGAAGTTTGTTACATTACAAGAAAATGTATGTTCAACATAGTTCTTTTGAATAATTAAATTTTCTTTCCTTTGTTGTTCTGGCAAATATAAATTAACTTATTTTTTTCTGTTGACCATTGCCCATTGATGTATGTTTAAGCAAGACTTTTCCTACCTCATCTTCAATTGGTGGGGTGTGGAGTTCCTACCTCATCTTCAATGTTTGTAATCTTAAAAATAAAAACTGGATTTTAGTTAATGAAAATTTGCTTGTAAATGTGTATAGTTGCAAATCTGAAGAACAGGCTTAGCATATTAATGTGTAATATAAATCTACATTTTTTACTTAATAATACTGAAAATTATTTACATTGGCAATTTTTATGTATATAATTAATAATAATATATAGTAATACAATATGTAATAATATAAAGGTGAAAAAAGGATTAATTGTGAACTTCTGCTGTGAGAATATTAACTTTTAAGCACATGAAGTGTCAATGAAAACACAAAACACTTTCAGTCTCCACTTAATTACATTAAACTCATACTCTTTGGCATATATTTTTATCTGACATGTTGATGCATACAATTCTCAGTATGTAGTGCTTCAAAATGTATACTTTCTTGTACTGTAAGGGTTGCTTAAAGTTCTAAATGGAACTTATGGAGTGCTTTTATTTCAACCACCTTTGCAAATCTTTTTTTCATTGCACTGCAACAACAGCACATTATGTCTTTTTCTTAACATGTAAAACCATTTGTTAAACCTGTAGGTGACAATCTGATTATCAAAGTTGCATTTATAATTGTTGTTTCATGTAGTTGGAATGATGATCCATCCACTGGATGAACAGCTCGGTTTGCAGGAACCACTCCTCGTTTAACTACATTTGTCATTATAGTTATGATGTATTTGAACCTAACACATGCATTATTAAACTTTTTTTTCAAAATCTCAGAACTTTTGACACAATTTTATCAGAGTTTATTTTAAGTAACATTATAGTCTACTTTCCCTTTCTGTAATATTGATATTTTACAGTATGCTTTATCAAAAAAATCACCTCATTTTTTATGTTTTCTTCATATTTTGGATCCTTGAAATTGAATGAAATATCTCAAGACTATTTCGGAAGAGCAAACCCTTTTCTAATATGGAAAAGTTTGAGAAATCATTTTGGACCTTAAGAGAAAATTTTGATTTCAACCTCTTTGAAAATGCACTATTTCTGGTTCCATTATAATCAAACCCCAAAACCTTCAAAACACTTAATTCGAGAGCATTTGATGCTTTTTATAACAACAAATTAATTATAGCATGAAATACATCTGTAAAGTAAATATGAAAGAATCACAAAAGGTTAGAAAAAATTTACATGTGTAGTATTTGAAAGTACATAAGTTTGAATAAAAGTGACACAGTGCATATAAATCATTGGATTACTTTATCTGCACTAAACATTTAAGGAAACAAATTGAGATCATATTTGAAAAAATCTTGTTTATTTTTGAAAAATGGTCATAATTTGATTCAGTGTTGCGAAATTTCAGTAATGATTTTAAAAAAGTGAATATAATTTCACTCTAAGGGCTAATATTGAAATAATGCATCACCATGGTATTGAAAGAGCTAAGAGCTACTAGCTAGAAAAAATCTTTACCTTCAATAACTGAAATTTAAGCAGGGAAATTTAAATTATTCAAGTTTCTAAAATATTAAGATTAAAAAAAAACAAACTGTCCTACCATGTTTATAACTATACTTTCTTGTAATTGAGCTAAAAAATCAAAGAAGAAAGTTTGAAAACGTCATTTTTGAACACAACATCCCTGAAAAAAAAATTATATGTCCTACAAACTTTACATTACATTTTCCTTTCTTTCTTCTTACTGTTTTTCGATTTTAGTCTTACACAACCATTTATAAAATTAATTAGAATTCCATTATATTGAATTTAGTACGAGAATTGAATTGAATTTTAATTTCTGTAATGAATTTAATTTTTAGAAATACCTGTATTGTACATTATATGATTATGTAGATATTCTGACTTGTCTTACATGGCTTATGCTGTATTTATTTAATAAATATAGTGTTAAGTCCATATGTTGTGCTAATACATTTAATATATGTATTTTTTTTAGATAAATGATTTGATATAAATTTGTTCCTTATCACTATCGCACTAAGAAGAAATGCTATTCGATCAGCTTTTGAACTTTACATTCATATCAATAATTTGGTGTTGAGTTTTGAAACTTCGAGATAATGTAATGGATTATGCAACCGATATTCAATTTTTAATTAAATTATTACCAATTTTACTGTATCTTTTTTGACAAACTTGCTTGGACCTTCTTTTATAGTTTCAGAATATTTATTATGTAGATAAATAGCTTATTATTGATAATTTACAATAATATTGCATTAACACAACATTGGGATTGACAACATAAGTGTATTGATTGTATCCTGCATTGTTGCGTCTGTATAAATATTGCTTCAATCATAATTATTTATCTTCTACAGAAATTCTACTTATTTCGGGAATGATAAAAGAAAATAAAGGCCTCTATCAATTGAAGTTATTTTCGGAGGATGTTGACCTTTTTCTCTCCAAATATAACTGATGCTGTGCACATTCCTCCTAATGATGGAGGAAAAAGAAGTAGAAGAAAAATTATTGACAGTGCAATTGCCAACTCGTGCAAAATATATAATATTGCAAATGAAGAAAAGACAACTATAATTTTGCCCTTACTTAGCCATGACTAATGAAATGCGAAGACTATGCAAAAGGAAGTGAATGTAATGAGTCAATGAATGTTCAGGAGACTGAAAAATCCCATTTCGATCGTCCTCACAAACACTTCCCTACCTAAACAAGTATGTAATGATGTACGGATACAGATAGAGGTGGCTCACGACATAAATTTGTCCCTGCAGTGCTTCTGATTGTGAGGTCCTTAGTGTTTGAGTCCTGAGAATCGTAGGATTTTCGTACTAGCTATGTAGTGAAGAAAAATTCTTACGGGCAGCTGCTCTCATCAGTGATTTTCCTTGACATTGCCGAACAATACTAGGCTAATACCACAACAAATGGGCTACGGATCGTGATCATTCCTTACTCATCCGTGCCCTGTTCTCACCTGTTACTTGCGAGCACTTACACTTACTTGTACTACACTACCAAAGGAGTCCCGTTGGGAGCTTAGACCTGGTCTTGGCTGAGGCATTGCCCCGCTGGTGGAGGAAATATCCTGCAAGCTGACAGGTAGGTCGGTGTCGTATATAGCCATCCAAGATGGGAAAGTCACTGCCACCTCTTCCGCTAAAAAACATGCATTTACGATACTAATGAACTTTGCAGTTGACATGCCCCGAATCATCAGTCATGATGTAGAGCATGAAATTATAAAAGGAAGAAACCAAAGCCACGAAGTGCAGATTGTGCAAAAGCACAACAATTTACAAATGATTTAGATTTATTTAGTCAAAAAAACAGTAAAAACTGTATGTGACGTATGGGGGAGAAGATTATCTGCACACGTTTTCTTGAGTTCCAAAATCCCTTCTGTCATTTTAACTATAAATAGTTGAAAGGTGAGTAAAAGTTTAAAATAAATAAATAAAAATAAATTTTAAAAAATCGCAAGATTAGCAATATTTCAAAAAAATTGACATTTTTGTTTCAGAATTATAGAAAACTTATTTGCATTGGTAATGTAAAAATTGGTGTTCATCCCCATTCAAACTTTTCAGTCTTCTCAAGTCCAGATGAATTAATGTATCTTATCAAAGTTGCATATTCGCAACATTTTGTTGTACATTGACTGTTGGTTAAAAGAAACTATAAAAAAGTTTTTTATTCTTTATAGTGTAATATTAGAGTAATATTATTTAAAAAATATTGTTTCAATGCTTCTATCTTAATAGGTTAAAGTATCCATTTTACATTCAATGAGCATTGAATTAGACCAGATCTATCAGGATACTTTGGGGAAAATCCTACATTTCAGGTTGTAGTGTTGTTTAAACAAACCAGTGGAAGGATGAATATTGTTGAAAAATCATTTTTCAATATGAAGAATCCCCAAATTAGGTATTTCAATCACTCTCATTATAGTTTTTTTGTAGCATTACATAATTTTCTCTACACTACATAAATGTGAAAATAAAAATTCTGAAAGGAAATGAAAAATTCTATGTTCAAAACTCCCCATGGAATCATATACACAAAATTTTCTACAGTTATGTATATGGCATGGAAGTTTGAAATTCTTATATTATGAATGGTAACTGAATAACCTGGCGTAATAACAAATACCAAGTTTTAAAGAATATGTGATTGACTAATCAAAAAGTTCATTTTCCTACAACTTCATCATTCCTAGCTAGTATTGTATTTACACAGTTGACATTCATGTAATTTCATCCTTCATAGCTTGTATAGTATTTAACTTACACAAAGCATTTAAAAAAAGGAAAAAATAACCCATATGGTACTACAGATAACAGTATTTCTGACATGAAGGCATTTTGAATGCAAAATCAAGTACATTTAAGAACAGGAATTTGAGAAGGGATGAATAAAGTAAATCAAACATTTTTTTTAAGAAATACATAACATTTAAGAATATTTATATTATGAGACTTGGTATATACAAAAATGTCAACTCGTAAATTGTATATTAACTCCAACGATAGTGTGCAAATGCTTTGTTAGCTTCACATTGCCGATGAAGATCCACCTTTCGTTTTACAACACGGCCCTGAAAATATAGAATTCACAATTACTTTATTTCCATATTAAATCATAGTGAATCACAAATTAAATGGTGTTTCATGCAAATAGGAGATTAACTCCCAAAGATTTTGAAAGGTGGAAAGAAGTACTCTACAACCATCAAGGGTTAAGAACATGTAATGAACAAACCCTCTTGAGCCATTTTAACCCTATACCCTCTAGGGTAATGAGTTTTGAAGAAATGCATACAAGTGCCTTTTGATATTGTTAAGATGTGATGGTTTTGGGCACTTGCACATCCAGGGGGGTTTGCAGAATGTTCATTTAATATTCTTTATAGGGCAAATTTTAGTGCATATTTTCCAAGGACAGATTACCGTATAAATGCATACATATTTCATAGATTATTAGTGCTTATAAATCCAGTCCCTAGTCATCATATATTGGTAACAGACAATGGAGGTACCTGATTCGCAGCTGCATCCAATAATTCCCATGCAAGTTTCTCAGGAAAATGTATTTTACGATCCTTGTCTTTTGCAGAAGTTATAAGCCATTTTATTGCTAAGAAGAGTGATCGATTTTCCGTTATGGGCACAGGAACCTATAACATTGTTTAATATTTTTATCTTGATGTATTTTAATATTTGAAATAAAATGTTTATTACAGTCATATAAATGAAAGGGAAAATTTTAAAATAATATTTTTTTAAATACAACAGTTCCTGTTCCATTTTCAATGAAAACACAACTACAAGTAAGCGATAGAATAACCAGATTTATCAATATAAATTTGAAATATACCAAAAAATCATAAGTTTTCTCCTTCCTGTTAACTTCAAATTGCATACAAAATATTAACAAAAAATGCCATGTAGAAAAACTTGTGGCTAAAGTCTAGTATAAGATAAAAGGAAAACAAACTAAGCACACATAAAAATTAAAATATATTATTAACTAATATTTGTGAGATACCAATGAACAATGAAACAAATCTATTTATGTGTTACTTTACAAGGTAGTTATGTTCATTGTTTAAAATGCATTACACATTAAATAAAGAGGAGGAAACTCCCAAATATTTATGAATATGTTTAAACAACTGTTAATTGTACATGTATAAACGAGCATTAATTTAGCCAAATGATCTTTCGTTTGTTACTACATTATATATATCCACCATGTAACACAATAATCTTAATGCATCTTGTTCTTTACATTAAAATTAAATAGAACATTATTTTTTTTAAATTGGGAGTAATGGCATAATGTTAAGTAAATAAAAAGGGCTTCTTTTCATTAGATATAAGGAAGTTAGAGGAAGTGTGTATATATATATCCAATTAATGAGTATTAAAAGTAATTTTTTTTTGAAAAAATTACATCTGATATTTTTGCTAATAATCAGTAATTTTCGCCTACATTTTCACAATCTTTAATTTTCACATATTACTAATAAATAAAACCTTGACTGCCATAATACGCAGTATAGGAATACAATGCATAACATTCAATGTTAAATAAAATATATTCCTTACCTGATAGCGCACACCACCTCTTTTGACAGGTGTTAGTTCCAACAATGGCTTACTGTTAGAAATTGCATCATGAAGAATTTTCACTGGGTCTTTGATTATGCTTTCCTTTTGATCTTCTGGAGTTTTATGGTATTTTTCGAGTTGGATACGTTTTATTTTTTCAAATGTCTGCATTGTTAAAAATTATATCATTATCAAATAAAACTTTTGAATTTTTACATTGAAAATTAACCTTTAGCACAACTAAATACATGAATTTGAATTATGAAAGATAATTACAAATTAAAAATTTCAAAAATATATTGAAAATTAAATCATATTAGCTGAATTCTTGCAATTTCATAGCACAAAACAGCTGCAGTTTTACATATTAACTATATAGAAAACTGAAAACCCTGAAAATAGTTTCTTGTTCCAAACATTTTCTCTAATATTAATGAAATAAAGAGAAATTTACAAAATTTACAAACTCTGGATCAATAGATTAACTATGAGATTTAAACTTGTTTTCGAAAATAAAATGTGACATGTTTACTAAGATCTTTACACAACAGCAGCTATCCATGAAGCAACTTGAAAAACTAATGCATAACATATAATTATAATCTCTGATTATTTTTGTAAAAATATGACTGCTAGACTTTCACTAGAAATTCACTAATATTTGCATTTAAAAATCTCACTTTCATCTTAGCATTAAAAACCAACAAAATATCAACTACCTTTGACAGATCAATTGAATCGTTTATTTCAGAAACCCATCAAACGCCTAAATATAAAACACGCTTTAGTGACGGATTACAGTTCCAGGATGATAGACATCTTTAATAAAAAAAAAAAAATTGAATCTGTAAAATTGAGAGATTTATTTTCAGTTTTCTCACAATGAGAAATTTGGCATTTGACAGGTTTCTGAAATATATGATTCAATCGCAAACTTGCACAACAAAATGACTAACATTACACAGATGTGGTTGGTCTAGAAAACAGTGTAATGAATAAATGATGGCAAATAAACACTCTTTGCATTCATTTCAAGATATGAAAATTTAGTGTCTATAAACAAAAATGGGTTAGTATAAACAGAGCATGTGATAACACAACTAGGGCCCACTCTCTTTCATTTAAAAAATTAACGAAATTTAGTTGAGTAGAAAGTTTAGACTTTTTTCTAAATGAATGCTTATATATTTATCTACATGAAATTTTTTAAGTACATAGATTTTAAAGAAATCATCTGAATATGTTTGTCTTGTCAAGCAAATTACAAAAAAAGAACTTACAAATAATTGGTTTAAAAAATGTTGAAGTATATTATAGGTGTTAAAATCCACAAGTTTCCATGAGTGCTCATTTTTCTCGATGTAAGAGGAGTGGAAGGTTTGTTTATTTTGACAGAAATACTATTTTATAAAATCTTTAACTCTTTCTTTGATTCCAAATAATTTCAATTGCATGGGAGCAAACATTATCATCAAATTATGTCAAGAACGCTTGATGCTATCTTTTATTCTTCTTTTGAGGGCGCAACAGTCCATAAGCGAACTTGGGCCCCCTTAATCCATGGTCCATTTATATCTCTCTCCCGTGCCTTGCTTCTCCAATCATTTACTACAGTTAATTTTGGTAAAGGAGTGGATTGGGGAGCTCTAGGAAACTTGTGCAATAATATATATATATATATATATATATTATTATATATATATATATATAAATTATATATATAATATATATATATATATATATATAAATTCTGCATTTTCTAACGCAGTAATATTTGAGATTGTCTCAAGTTCATTTAAACTCTTTCCAGTACCTTTTCTATTAATTCCCGGGCTAAAGCTTTTTTACCACACCTCATCACATGATTGGTGAATTTCCTAAAACAAATGTAATGACACTTATTTCAGTGAGCACATAACATTTTGATATGCAAATATATATTTGATATAACTGATGAATCGCGTAAATAGGTACCTCGTTAATTCGTCATGAAATACTGAACAGGTTTCATAATTCAGCGCTGCTTTTATAGGAATAAGTTTAAGTGTTTCAGCCTCTCCACTCTCAATTAGTTCTTTCCTTTTCTCTGTAGTAACATGAGGTTTTACATAATGCGGACCGTACGAAGAGTACGTTTTGTGTAAAAACTCTTCATTCCCCCTGAAAAAGAAAAAAAAAAAAAACTAGATTGAGTAAATACATTCCACATCTACTCGCTTCTTCCCCTCCGACACTTTTAAGGACATGGTAGTAGTGGTTATGAGATATAGGTTAGTATATAGTACAGATTTTTTTTATATGAATGGATTCAATTCAATTTGTAACTATATTCAACTAAGTACCTTCGATATAATGAGACATTTCTTGGAACAGTTAATACACTTAGTCTAATTACACCCAAAACCGTCATTGTGACACTATTTGCGCCCAGTCTCAGCAAATAATCCACTATTCTGCCATCACGGCACCAGCACCACCAGATCGCAGATCATGTCGCAGATCCTCACCACTCTGCCAGTGTATGCCAAGAAAAGATAAACCACTTCATTGGTGCATTGCAAAATGGTTCAAAGTCTGTTTACGGATGTGTTCTGCAGTGAATCGTGGTCCAAACAATATACTTGTCAAGAACTTCTGAAGTATATGTATTAAGTGCGTGGAAACAACCTCACAGTCTAATGTAATCTACAGTAAACAAAAAGTGGACTTTCAGAAGAGGGGAGGTTTTGTCAAAGAATGTGTGACTTGTAGTATGGAGAACTGTATGGTAACTTCGGTGTATGGCTAATGAAAAGTGCCGCGAATGTTTCAAAAGTAAACCCAATGTTTTATATTGCGCTTTTAGGGCAATTCATGTTATTTAAAGGCCCTGACAAGGTGTCGTTCGTGGTAGAAAATACATCTGTATTTTTATACACAAAGTGAAACAAAAATTTCAAAATGGCGGAACACCAAGGAAATCCATCAAATCATATTAATCAAGGTGTGTTTTAAATATTAACGAAATGTAGGGATAAGTCTTACAGCATCTATTGGCGTAAATGCCTTTACTTGCTATTTGCTTGAGCCAGAAGTGACTTGTTCGACTCTTTGCGAATTAATCAATAGTGATCATAGAGGTTATCTACCTTACGTATTATTGTAAACATCTTAGTAAATACGTGTCGTAGCTGTGACAGCTCTCAAAACTCCACAATTTTACTCTTATATGTAGAATGTTGGCGAATGTAACGGATTTGGCTACTTCAATAATCACTGTTTTCTATTATGCCCCATGAAGGTTCTCTTTACAACCAACCTCTAGTAACAAATTCAGTGGAGTTCACGTTGCCTGTTGCAGCGGAGAAGCGAAGAGCTTTGAAGCTGAGTTTTGGTTCGACGCCTAGTGGATTTCCACTTGGTGGGCCATCTACCCATCCCATTCAACCTTTCGTGTGAGTAATGTTATGTTTGTCATATTCCCCCAATGTAGTTTATGGTTGTGCACGAAGTATTGAATGTATATTTGGAATCAGGTACACAGCAGAAGATAGATTTAGCAGCAGCCCTTCCAGAACGCGAATTCCAACCCAGCGCCGAGCTTACCCCTACGAGGAAGCTGAAAAAACAAGGTAAGTTGGAATAATCTACATAATTTTGTATTTATTCTCTCTAAAAGGTATAACTTAATGACATTTAATTGTTTTAGGGATAGGTTTGCTTTTGGACAATCAACAGGAAAACTAAAGGTGTCTCCAGAATTGGTAGGTTGTATTTGGAATGCATTTTATGTATTACTACTTAGATACAAACAACTTTTAAAAATTGTATTCAAATACAAGATACTTTCTTGACAATTATACATACAACACTTTCACACAACTATTTTGTAATTTTTGGGGCAATTTTAGTCGTACTACTGCCAAAGACTAGAAAGCTAGCAAAATTAACAGACCTGGGAACATCAGAGAATTTGTACACCGTGGAATAGTCAGTGAATGTTTGGTTCATTCAGGCAGTGTTTTTAAATAATTATTTTACCTTTGAAAATTTTAATTACTTTTAAAGTATGCATACTTATACTTACTTTTACGTTTCGTATTTGTTAAAGGTATAAATTACCTTTAACAAATATGAAAAGTACAAGTGCCCCTTGTTGTTCCTGGGCTGAAATGTAGTGTACAGTACACCCTAAGGAAGTCGTTTAAACCAGCACTGCGCGCCCTTCTGGCCCTAACTAGGCAGTTAGAATTCTGGAGGCTTTCTTAAAAAGTGATGTCTTATAAAAGTGAATTGGTAATTATGCGTTGGACAGACTCAAGGGCGTTTATAGCGAACGTAAGGGCCAAATACCCGAGCCTCGCCGTGACTTGGATCCGGGCGAGCGAAGCGAGAAAACTTACCTATGAAAGTAAATTGGCGTTACAATGCGGCGGGGTCAAAGCATATGAAGGGCGAACCATGAACATCTCCTATTCGTAAGTTTTACTCATTTCTATTAGAGCATGTTCAGTATTTAGGGCTTAAGCCCCACCGCCATTCTTCTCTATGGGTGTACCGTATACTACTTTACTTTAACCTGTTCCTGCAATGGTTCACTGTTGTAACTTGTGCCACTTAATTGGTCCAGCATGTCACATCTGGCTTCCTCTCCATGAACAACACCAGTGCCAAAAAGGGACGGTATTAAGTTTTTTTCCGCCTTTGATCTGGCTGAATGTGCTGTAATTTTGAAAGGAATCTTAAAATTTAAAGGAGACTTTATATAAAGTTCATGCTACATTTTCAAAATATTGTAAGTCCAAATTTTTTCTTTCAATTTCTCCTTTCAAAAGAGGTCAGATGGCTTACATGTACAGTAAAAGTCTGATTTTTATGAAAACCTCAGAATTTACAAAGATTGAAAAAAATTGGTCCTGTCTATTATGAGCAAAATTGTTATGCACCAATATTGGATCATCCACATAACTACAAGTCTTGTTAATATGTTATAAAAATTGAAATTTGTCAAACTGATAGTTTATTTCCATTGATCAAATGTATGGAGAGTTCTGAAATCCTTGAGTAGAGCTGAAAAAATTTCATTGTGCAGTCATTTTTTTGACATTAATTTTTGACAATATTATCTTACTGCTAAAGAAACTAAATGCTCACTGCCTGCCAGGTTTTTATTCTCATGAGATCACAGGACATAAGTATTCCCCTAGCTTGCTACTAATCATGTGATGAGGTGTGGTAAAAAAGCTTTACATAAGGAATACATGTCTATGGCGTGTTTGATTTATAAAATTTTAATGTCCTGGAACACCCCCCAAATTACTTACTTATTTAACAGAGAAAAAGGTTTTTTCGTAAAATTAAAAATTATTCTCGTGGTACCGGAACACCAATCTTTGTGTTCTGCCTAAAATCAAGCCCTGCACTATCTGCCTGAAATCAAGCCCTGCACTTTGTAAATTTATTAGATATGTTTCAGATTCTTAATTTAAGGTCTGGAGGAGTCCCAACTACATATTTTCTTACTGCACAGTACAGAAACGATAATTGATAGTTGAGTTTTTAAAGATTTTCTTTTCAAGTTGCTAATTGAATCCCATGTTTAACCTGAAAGAAGTTGCATCCTTCTGACAAATGTAATTGGTTGTGCGGAAGGAAAAGGATTGGAAACTAAGTTTTGTTGCAAAGAGGTTTTGAACAACAAATTTGTCATAGATTTTCACATGTAATATTGTTGACTTATTTTCAGCCACTTAATGTCAAAAATATATACATTGTAAATCTCCATTACGAGACACCTGATTTGACAATGTTTGTATATTTCTGTCATTAATAATTATTACATAATTTCTTGACAATCCATTAATGTGATTTGCATATTATTTTCTTGAATTTTTAAGATTCACAGGATGCTTTATAGTTCACATTTTGCAACATATTTGTTTCCCTTCTTGTACATCAGTTTCTGATTCTTGTTCTTTAAATTGCCATTACTGTATTACATTTTTGATATTGAAGTCTTGTGGAAAGTGTCACAGTATCATCACTTGAATAATATTATCATCTGAATCATATTGTTCATTCCTACTTTTAGTGTACACATACTCTGCAAAGTTTATAAAGCCCCCTGGGAATGAGTTATAGGAAATTAATGTAAGGGCTCTGTAGGCACTGTGTCAGCTGCATTGCTTAGGCAAGCAGGAATTTTGGGACCCTTGGGTCACAAGCAAGATAAAAAAAAATTAAAGAATTGACAGAGTTTGGAACTATTTGATAAAATTTGCAATTAAAGGAAAGGAAATTAGGGAAAAGAACTGTATATCACAAGTGTGTAAAAAATTCTGAAACAAAATTGTACATGTAATAATTAGGTTTGGGGTCCTAATTCTTCTTCACAACTCTTCCTGCATTAAAACCAAATACTTTTAAATTTAAAATAGGTTTGTAATGGATTCATTTTGGGGTTTGAATTCGTGTTTTGTGGGCTGCAATGTATAGTATGAAATCATGAATATTGAGACTTTTATGTTCAGGTATATGATTTTACATCAGATGACCTTCAAGATCTTGGAGAAATTGGCCGTGGAGCATTTGGTACTGTTAATAAGATGGTCCATCGACGCAGCAATACTGTTATGGCTGTGAAGGTACACAATGTTTTGGTCTCAAATACTGAATTGAAAATACTATGAACAAGTATCAGATTTTATATTCACTCATTGCATTTGTGGATTGCAATTCCAAAAAATTACTGTGAAACAACAAATTTATTTCCAATATTCTTATTTGTTTGCTGATATTTATTTTCTAGCAATAAATTCAAAATGATACTACAGTCGCGAATGCATGTATGTTTCAGCGAATCCGGTCCACTGTAGATGAAAAAGAGCAGAAGCAATTGCTGATGGACCTGGAAGTGGTGATGAAGTCTAATGAGTGTCCTTATATAGTGCAATTCTATGGGGCTCTGTTTAAAGAAGTAAGTTATTTGAAAAAGCTGTATTACAGGGTAACCCTTTGCTTTGTGACCCAACCTCAATGTCAAAGTTTTGATCGTTGTTGAGGGGCTTTAATATACATTTCAGCATATATGGAAAATGTGCTGATACTTTGTACAGATATTGTCAGAGAAACATTAGTCAACTGTGAGCTGTTCTTCATCCAATTTTGCCAGGTATTACAAGAAAGGACTATTGATAAAGGAGGTAATACATATTGGGTGCCACAAGTTGTTTTAATCTGCAGTAGAGATATATTCAGAAAAGAAAATGCAATTGGTCTGTGATGGAGAACTAAGATACACAAAACTAATACAAAGAATACAACAACTATGATCAAAACACCTTCATCTGTATGAGTTTTCTGTTAACAAAACTGCCTACTTGTGGGGCCAACACTATAGGGTGAACAAACTCTTTGTAACCTTTTTATCATATAGCCTGTGATTCGAATGATTAGGGAGAACAAAATTATATTATTTATTTTTGCATTAATATGCCAAGTGGGATTCCTTAAGGAGCAACTAAGATTACTGGTTCGCTTGACCATAGAAGTCGTACCGTGCACCAAAAATAATTTGTATTTTTCACTGTTGGACTTGAGAACCACAATTCATAAAGAAATACAGTTGGCTTCTCATCAAAGTTTCGCTCCTGTCATTTCAAGCACTGAATGTATGTGCTGTCTTGAAATATTAAAAATATTTTTTTCGCTTGACGAAAATTTAAGAATGTCGAAGTACCGTAGCTAGCATTTGAAACGAACAAATAAACCTACAAAACATAAAGAAAATAATTTTAAATAATAGCTACGTAATTAAATTATCCAGATAATTGAAAAATAACCATAACATTAATAAATGTTCTGGGAATATGAAGTTAAAAACTAAGTTGTGTACGCACAACTGAAACTACACCTGTACAAACTTTTGAGATACAAGTGTATTCATTTGAAACAGGATCAATGAGCTGAATGAGTGCAGCTTGCATAAAATATGTGACTACGTTTTAGCTGTAACCCTGTGAACATAGTACACTTTGTTAAGACGGGCACTGAAATTCATGTTACATTATGTAAGCATAATTCTGTGCACAGTATTTCTAAGGATTTATTAACAAACATGATGGATTTATATAGTTGATTAAGGCACATAGAGTATCAAAAGGCCAGTTCAATTCCTTATAGAATTCAAGATTCTACATTTCTCAGTACACTTATCATTAGAGGGGTTCCAAAAAGAGCTAAACCTCCAACAATAATAAAGTCCAGAGTGGCCGTCTTTGGTTGGTCATGCTCTGAAGAACATGAGTCATGGGCCCAGCAGAAGGATGAGAGAGGCGCTCTTGAAAAATGGGTTTTAATATCAACAAATGCTTGAGAATTTTTTTCTAATGACACTTCATTTGCAAAGATGCTTCGCAAATCAATGAATTGAATCAAAAAATGAAATGAATCAAAAAATGAAATGAATCAAAAAATTGTAAAGGGAAAAAGGGAGCAGTAACGTAGTACACCGTACAATGTGCAAGTGCAATATTATGCATAACGTATTAAGTAAGGGTATTAATAAAATTTCTGTGTTAACAGATATTTTATGCTGACTATATTGTGAAATATTAATAAGTGGAAGATGAAATTAATAAAACATATCTTGGCGGTATTGTTCATGTTTATAGCAACACTTTGCATGTAAATAGCAAATGAAAGGCCTGTGCTCAACCTGTAACCCAAAGACAATTTTATTTCGTTTAATTTCAGCTTAACAAAGTTCACCTCGATAAAGATTGGTATGTTGAAGTTTGTGAGGTAATTTTTCTACAAAGTTATGGAGCTTATAACTAGAAATTGTGAAATTATTTTTCAGGGTGATTGTTGGATTTGCATGGAGCTCATGGACACATCTTTGGATAAGTTTTACAAGTTTATTTATGAAAAATTAAGGCAGCGAATTCCAGAAAAAATCATAGGAAAAATTACTGTAGCAGTAAGTATAATTTTAAGAAAGATTTTAGTAAACAGGCAACTTTCCCACCGGCCCAACTTCATTGGAGCCCAGATTTTTTATTTTCATTCAAAGGAAATTAAAAATGAATCCATCTTCAATCTAAATTGAACACTGTAAGTTATTTCTGTTGCATGAAGAAATTAATTCTGATTATGAATTGGCGGAGGAGGGACTTTTTTTTGTTTGAAATGAGGATCAACTGCCCCAAGCTGCTGGTCATATGACAACTGCACTCATGCTTCCACTTCTTGGTATCAATCTCTTGGTTAGAGTTATTTCTCTCTCTCCCTCCTCTCTCTCTCTCTCTTTTTTTATTTTTTTTTTTTTTATTTTTAGAAAAATATGGTAACTTTTTTGTTTAGACTGTTAAGGCTCTCAACTACCTGAAGGAACAATTGATGATTATCCATCGTGATGTGAAGCCCAGTAACATTTTGCTTGATAAACGAGGCAACATTAAATTGTGTGATTTTGGCATATCAGGCCAATTGGTAGACTCAATTGCTCGGACACGGGATGCTGGTTGCCGACCATACATGGCAGTAAGTTATATTGCTAATTTTCTTGCTTTAACTGTATAATAACTGTAACAATAGTGATGTATGATTAAATAAATTTGAATAAATAAAAATTACATTCGCATATAGAATTGACACAGTGAAGACTTTTGGCAGATTTGGAGACAGTTGAACATCACTGGCTTCATACGGCAAAATATTCCTTTTCTGGTATGTCGAGTACATTTTTGCCGCAGGTGAAATGCAGTGGGATTTAATGTTTATTTTGGAAATGTCCAGTGTTAATAAAATTTTACTCATTTCTGCCAAATTTCTTGTGTGTGCAGGTGGGTCTATATATATAAGCCAACTTTGGTTGCTTAGAGATAAACAATTTTCGTGGCAATTCATTCTGTCTGGGTTCCTTATTGCAGAGACCCCTCCTCTTTCATGAGCTGTAACTCGTGAAGATTCCTGACTTAATCAGCTTAATTTTTAATGTATATTAACAGAATCCTTGCATTTCAGCCAGAGAGAATTGATCCTCAGCGAGCTCGTGGTTATGATGTTCGATCTGATGTTTGGTCACTTGGAATCACCCTGATGGAAGTGGCAACTGGGCGTTTTCCTTACCCTAAATGGAACTCGGTTTTTGAGCAGCTTTGTCAAGTGGTGCAGGGTGACCCTCCACGACTTTCACCTAATGAAAATGGAAACCATTTTACTATGGATTTTGTCAACTTTGTAAATACTTGGTAAGTTATAAGAAAGATATATGGAGATAGAGTACAAGGTTGAAGAAGTGTACATTGATTTGCTGTTTTTTATGGCAAACATTTTACAGTTTGATAAAGGAAGAAACACAACGGCCCAAATACAACAAATTATTGGAACATCCTTTTATTCGGCGCAGTGATGAAGCAGTTGTAGATGTTGCCCAGTATGTTAAAAATATACTGGACAACATGGCTAACAACGGTGCTCCAATGTTCACAACCAACCAGCCCTGATGGCGCGGGGCACTGGCACTGGCTGAAGAACGGTGCGCTCGAGTACGTGCCCCACTCGCAGCTTGGCTGGCAGGGCACTGGCCTTCTGCACCCAGCTGAGAGGCATCTGGACTCTTCTGTCTGTGCCAGGACACATTGCACTGTGCACCTGCAGTGTACCTTCCAGTGTGCATGTACATTTTCAGTACCTAATGACCAGTCACCAGTGTATATTTATTTGATGTGGTGTAACAGCAGATTGTGTGATAAACTCCACCTATGAACTGCAGTTCTCCAGCCAACTGCTTGTTAATGCATTGAACAGCTTATTCTTTGGCTGTTTGTTTGCTATCCCTGTATAGTAGTAATACATACAATAAGAAGGGGTGTGTAGACTTAATGCAGTGTATACTGTATTCTTTGTTTTGCTTCTGGAAATACCAGATCTTGTGGGAGCTGGTCATGGTGTTAAAGTTGGCTGAGACATCTCATTTTTAGGTCCCAAGATTAACTCTTATGGATTCTAACAAGGTCGTGTATGAGGGAAGAAGACATGGAAGAAACACTGGATCTTTAAATAAAATTTGTAATAAAAAATAAGTTACATCTAAAACATAAAAGCAATCTACAAAATATCCAACTTGTATTCTGAGATCTTAAGTTGTATATAAAATTTACAAACTTGTCATATAGCAAAAAATCTACTAGGACGGTGCTGAGGCAACTTGTTCTGAGGAACTCTCAGTGGCATCGCGCAGCAAGAATAGGTCTGGTCCTTCACTCTCATCTCACTTGTATAACTTCGATGCATTTTACATAAAATGGCACCACTTCTTATGGCACATCACTATCCTTGATCATTTTAGTAAAATATTTTCCAAGGCTCCTCTTTTTTTACTTTCTCCTTAAATAGTTCTTGATATATAGGTCTAGCACAATAGGATGATCAAATGTAACATTCCACAGATTCGTATTAGAACAGTTCATTTTATTTTATGCCTGTCCTTCGAATTTTCTCGTGAATGTATTGTTAGGGCTGTCTGGAATTGAAGAAAGCAATTGTTGTCTGTTACATTTTATATTGTGTACGACTCTCCGATAAGGTTTAAAACCGAAATTATATCAGAATTTAAAAGATTACTACTACAGAATTTAAAAGGTTACTTGTTTTGGTTATTGTTTCATATCTGAGGTATTTCCATTTCATCCTAGTTTGCAAGACCTATACTTACATTTTATACCCTTGCTTGTAATTCTTTCTATAAACAATCCAAGAATTCTACCACAGCATCAATGCTGTTTAAAAAAGGTTTAAAAAATAAATTATTGATGAAATATGTTCTTTTATAAAATTATATCTACTTTTTTCTTTACTTAATCCTTATACAATTTGACACAATTGCAAGCACCTTATAAAAAGTTTCCAAATTCTTCTCATACCCTGTATGTTGCATTAACTATCCTGATCAATATACTGTACATTTTATCAATTAACTGATCTTGTTTTTGTCAAACTGCTCCCAAGATCACTTCAGAACAAACTCTAATAACTTAGAACTTTTTGGAGAGTAGGTTCCCCATCACATTTCCGGTCCAACTCCAATTTGAAGATGGGAATTTCTTTCTTGAAGAGATAATAGGCAGAAATCAGATCGATCGGCTGGGCTCAAGTGTTTTCTTCTGCCTAATATTGATTTTTTTAATATATTTTTTTTAAATATATTGAAATTCCCTATCTCTAACCCTGCCACTTGCATTCTCCCACTTTTCTGCTAAGCTTCATCAATTTGCCAATCACTGTGGGCGACCCATGGGCTTTGTTGTTGCCTTAAGGTCCACACACACACACAAAGCTGCATCTGCGTGCTGCTGAGTTGTCCATGAATATTGTAAGTCAAGCATTGTAGCATGTCTAGGGCTTTATTTCATTTGGAATGCCTGCCAGCAGATGACACTCGCTGCCTCCAGCCTTCCCTTAAGCTACCACCAGCCACCTGCTTTCCCTTCAGCATCAACAGAAGCGCCTTCCCCCCACCTCAACACCCACCACCCCCGCTGGGCTGCAGGGCAACTTATTGCACACTCACCACACAGCCATGATCTGCATTCAACTAAAATTAACATTGCACTAAGTACAGAGCCCACGCTCTGGAAGCCTAAAATAAAAGGCAACAATTTCTGAAGGCCTCATCACCAACTAATGCACAATATCGCATGCGAAATAGTTCATACAGCCACTTGTAGTTGGCAAGAGACCTGTCTTGTCTTATGCCCACTGGCTTTTTTATAATTATCTTATATGCAAGCTACTGAGAAGGAACTTGCTAATGGTCTCAGTCATTACTAGTTGCTACATGCAAAAGCTCATTTGCATACACAGTGCAAATTTAAAGGAAGAACAGATTCAATGGGTCAGCTTCATTCCTGACATCAATGCCTTTCACTCTCACAATAAGGTAACATGTGCTAGATTGGCATGCACCACCACATCCATTACAGCCTGAAAAACCACTTGTACATTGGCTGTGTCTGTGGCTGTGGTGAAATGTGGATACAGTGGTCGTGCAGAGTTGCGATTCCTAACTGCAAATTTATGTTGCACAAAGAGGGCCCCCCTGTCCACATCATAATCAGGTCCTGTAATAAATCACATTCTAAGTATTAGCCTCAATTCTTATCACTGTCAGGATACCTAGATGCTACTGCATCTCTAAATTTTATGGGCATCCCGACAGTACATGTCAAATGCTGAGAAGTCAACCAGCAATCACAAGAACCATTTGTAGTTCCAAGAGCAACATCAAAATATGTAGAAAAAAACAAAATGTGTAAGCATTCCTCAGAAGAACACAATGTATCATTACAGGATATGTAATATAATCATTTGATTATTGGTTGATACTGTTATTTTGATTTTCCTTGTCCGCTAGTACTTTCATGGCATTTTCCATTCCCATTATGATTACAGACATGCATCTACACTTCTCATAAAATATCAACAATATATTATCTCACTGCATTGCATTAACTTACCTTTATAATCAGGGAAGTACAGTCGTAAATGACGACCAGAATAAAGAATCTTTTCCCGAAAGAGGTCAAGCTTGTTCAAGAAAAGTACAAAAGCAGCTTCACGAAAGAATCTATTGTTGACTATCTGCCCAAACAGGGTGAGACTCTCCTCGAGGCGGTTGACAGAAGGATCCTCCTAAGAAGAATTTACCATTACTTCTCATCTGCTTCTAAATACTACTAATATTCAGTTGTTATTAATCAATTTTTATCACATATTTTATGAATATTGTTTTAATTTTTTGCACAAAATTAGGAAAACCAAGGAAATACAACTATTATGCCTGAGGGTAAGAGCATATTATGTTCCTCAGCATTTTATAGAACACTCATTTTACTACACTTAAATTGAAAGTAAGTTATTCAAATATTTGCCACATCAGTTTGAAACCAACACCAAGGGTAAATCATAAAATTTAACCTAAAATTTAAATCTCTTTCCAGAAAAGAAGTTATTTTTGACTTATGCTCTTACTCCTGGCAGAGCAGAAATAATCACAAACATTTTGGACCAATTATGTAATTTACCCAAATATAAGACAACCCCCTAATTGTGAAGATATTTTTAAATTTGTAACCTACTTCTTACTATTTAATCACTATAAAATTGGAAGTTAACTATAAAATTATACAGTGGATGAGAATATTATAACTTCTGCCTGAACTGGCATTACTTTCGTTTTCCTTAAAATTATGAAAATTTTGATTTTTTTGTTACTATCGTCCTTATCTACACACATTCTTCTTATTGGTTCTCCCATACTGCACCTTCCTCTGATTTTTTAGACCCAACTGAAAAATTAGCACGTGGAATTTGAGTTCTTACTCTTCCACACCACCTGATAAACTTTAGTGTAATCGGATTTTTCTTCTCGCTCCTACTTGTGGTCTCAGATTCTTTATTTCATATTCCCATAATTTAAAGTTCGTGCGATCCAGTTCTGAACTGCGAACTCGCACGTCTGTTGGGTGGGTAACGTTAAGGCAACTTTGGGACGTTTTTGCTTGGGAAATATGATTTATCATCCTTTCATATGGTTGGATGTAGAATGTGCCGCAATGAGCTAGTAGTATACTGTAGCTCATCGAGAATGCGTCGGCCTTGTCAATCCACAAAATTTCGGCAACGATTTTGATTCATTTTCACGTTGCGGTTCACTTATAATCCCATTCCCTTGAGATTCTCTTTACAGGCCCCATTGAAAAAACTCGGTTTGAATTGCCCAGCAAATGCACGGTGGAAATCGAGAATACGACTGTGAATATTATAATAGATAAAGATATGCGTTATATTTTTATCGCCTTCAAACTTATTGTCACACCAACATTTACGAGTTTTGTGACATGGAAAGATGTAAAAACATGTCCAAACCGCTTGAGCTTAATCAAGGAATGTTAGATGCCCCCGAGTTTTTTGAATGAGATATTGGAGGGGGGAGACTTATATTCGGGTAAATACGGTATATTAATTAAATTAGCACGTAAACAATTTTTACGTATTTGATCCTTTGGTATTAAAAACTAAGGACAAATTTTTGTTAGATAGTAGTTGAGAATACAGGTTAAAACTAAGAAGAGAGAGGTAAGGTCATTAACTCTTTAGATTGCACATGACAATTACAACACTCCACAAAATATTTAATTAAACAACATATAAATAATTTTCAATAGAGTATCATGACCATCTACATTAATTAGTTTCCTTTCGATCAAAGCAAACCAGCAATAACAAAAACAATTTGTTATAAAACAATTCATTATTATCATTAAACATGAAGTTAAACAAATGCATTAAAATCACACATCTGACTGGGAATTAAAATTAAAAACATGTAAAGAATATTCAAAATTTGTTTCATGACTTAATTTATACTTATTCTTGCATTTTAAATAAGACAATTGAATTTGTTACTCTTACTGCAAAATCTTACATTTTCCTAACAAAAAATCTAAAATTGTAATAGTATTTATGGAAGGGCAAACTTCAATAAAAAAATTGAATAAAATTAAGGATTAAGGACCCAGTAAGAATACTAACGACAGCTATCAGAATCATTTTTGTTTACTTCATCACTTAAAGCATGCTTTTCCAGTTAGGTCTTGGTAATCTTCCTAATGATAAGATAAAACAGGAGTACTATTGGTTTATGTAGCATTGTTGTACCAAAAGAGAAAATTAATGTATAGCTCAAGGACAATGCAATTTCTGTAGGCACTATACCTAAATAGACAACCACTCAGAAATCAAATATGTCAACATTACCAACAAAAGCAAAAATCTACCTTTCTTGACAATATTTTCTTATGTCATGATTGAGAATTTTTCAGCTTCATTCACTGAATTAACATTTTAAAAAGGAAAATGCTACAACATACAATAAATCAAATTACTATTAAGAATTGAGCAGATGCCAAGTTTGCAAGAAAATGCCCTATTGAGAAACTTGTGACCAAAAGCAAAAATGTCTGCAAATTAGGAGAAGTGGTGAATAATTTGATTAGTGGTTAATGAATATGAAGAAGGGAACTAAAAATCACAAGGATGTACAAAATTCTGAAAGAAAAATACACTTAAAGTTTTATAAAGAGTAGCCTAAATTTATGATGTTAGCAAGAAGAATATTCAGGGCTAATATGATAATTGAAACACCATTCCAGAGGCATTATGCTTATTTTGCATAATTTATGGTTTTCTTATAAGAACCAATGAAAAGGATTTGCTTCAACTTCTTAAAATTATTTGAAATAACCTGCCCAAGACCTTAAAAGAAGTAAGAAATACATGGAGCAAAATTCACAAAAACAATTTTATAAGGTCTTATTTCAATATTACAAAATGAATCAGATCACAATAACCTGCTTTACAATACTTTATATGTTTCCATATTTGGTTATTGGAATTAACAACTTTCTCACATCATTTGTAATGGCTATGGAGTATTATAATACTACATGCACCTGCAAAAGTGTTTCCTAACAGCAAACATTTCTTCAAGCTAGGATTCTTGTCCAAATCTGTTTGATTCGTCCTTAAGATTTAACAAACCAGTTACATTACCCGCATATCACCAGCCTCAAAGTTCAACTCTACCTTCCTGACACTTGAAAAAAAGTTAAATATTTACATTTGCAATTTTCAAAAATACAGATTTTTTTATTTCCATTTCAAGAACTAAATATCTATCCACTTTTTCAACACCACAGCCCCAAAATACAAGTTTTTCTGTTGAAAAACCACTCACTTGTGAGGCAGCTTTACAATACCTCGTCTTTTCATAGAAACCTAATCTTTGTGTAGAAAAGTCAAAAGTACAAATAAATCATTTTCACTAATACAAGAAACAAAATACAACTTTAAATACCTTGAATTACAAAGAAATAATCATTGCTACCAATTGTTTAAATATTTACTATGTTCTGATTTTTATTCCACTGTTGCTGTCAGACAAATATTTAAATTGTAGGACAGTAAATGACTAATACTAACAGATAACCTGTTAAGGGTCTACAAGAATTCAATGTGTTTTAATATTAAAGAATACAAGTAAATGAAGAGAAATAAACATTACATACCACAAGTGTCATATCATAACCGCTCAGTGATACAACAAACATTACAGCACGGACATCATCAAAACAATAAATCCACTTTCGACGTTGAGATCTCTGTCCTCCAACATCAAACATACTGCAATAAAAGCATGAACAATTGCTTTACTTAACTGCTGTCACTAACATTCTAAATAATTTCTATGCAATTTTTAAAAAATATATGCATTTCGAAAAACATAAATATCTGTAATAAATATATGGGTTTCTATTCCTGCAAAATATTTAAACAAAAAATTGCAGCCATTATCTAAAAAAATTTCAAAACATTAAAGAAGCATTCATGTAAAGTACCCCTCTAAAAAAAAAATATCTTAATGATCTGCAGGTTGGCACTAGATATTACTCCTCATGAATTAACTGAGTTTCCGCTCAAAAGCTTCTAAACTGACATTCTGACAACTCGTTACCAGAGTTGTGGATGACATACTTCTATCTGTCCATCATCCTTACTGATTTTAGTGTATATCTCCTCGTCATCTGCACCAGTCTTATTCATCTTTGGAACACCACTCTTAAGACATTAATTCTGACATGTGTGCAACATTACAGCTAAAAAGAACCTTGAACATGGATTTCATGACTTCAAATTTGAGATTGTATTGTTGAGGTGATTTCGATTGTTTTCATCCCTGAACTATAGTATAGGGTGGAAAAGTAAAAATTACATAATTTACTAACCTTATAATCGTGTCTCCTATTTTGAAATGAGTTTCTATAATACCATTCGTACGCACTCTGGCACGAAGAACATCTGTGGGTGTAGGCACATACTTTTCATCGCAGATTCGCTCCATATTTTCAAACAAACTATAAAAAGGGTTTATTGTTACTCTGAATATTTATTTCAAACATATGTACAGTAGAAAATTTAAGTATATATACAAGAAGTCAAAAGCCAAGCAATATAATATGCCTACGTATAAAAAGATAAAATACTCACTAAATAGCTGAATCATTCAGTTCATATTCGTAGCCTCTAGCTACAGCTAATCGAACCCCCCGGTCCTGCCATAAAGCTTGTAAAGCAGCAGCAACACGTGGAAGGACATTGAAGCCTTTATCAAAACAGGAACTACTGGCAAGCACAATTTGGGCATGGGCCTGAAAATACATACTCCATTTAATTTAATATTTAATGCAACGTTAATATAAAGAATTCTCTAAAAAGAAATAAATATATCACCTTATTTTTGGCAGATTGTAAATTAATACGCAGCAGCCCCATACCAGTTAAAACATATTTCATGGAGGAAAGAAGATTGTCCATGACTGTAGGCCGAAAACTTCTAAGTTCTTCTTTAGTAAATCCATCACTGTGAATAATTTTCATCTGCTTTACCAGAGTACTTTTACCACTCTCACCCGCTCCTAAAATTTAAATAAATCTTTATTAATTTATTTGCCATTTACGTTCACAAATCAATCAATTGTACTACACAAAACGTACCCAAAAGAAGGATCTTAATAACATTGCGTTCCTGCTTTGCTAATTCTCCCAACTGTTTGTCTATTTCTTCACTTCGCCTTCTAGCCTTAGATTCCTCTCTATCTAATGTCAGACATCCACCCATCCCATGTTGCATGCGGTTACAACCTTCATATGAAATAATTACTCAATGCTACAGAACACAATTCAATGACACAAACGTGAGTATGACAGCTAGACGTAGCGTGTGGTATATAGCAATGCCACCATACGTCCAGAAAATTTCGCAAATAACAAGCCAATATCCACTCTTTTAATGAGAAGTAACGATTACGCAGAGCAAATAGTATTTGTGAAACTCAATTATTTCTGCACATTAAATTCCGACAAAAAATACCTCAAAAAATTCAAAACAATAACATGTGCACTCAACTGACGCGATGACGCTACCTCCTTGGCAAAGATGACCATATCAAAGATCTTCCATTTCGTTCTAATGTCAACAAACTAGATCTTCTTGAAGAATTTTTACAGAAAAACGAATGAAATCTCATTTCGATCTACGCCAGATAATACGAAAATAGAATTTTATTTATTTTTTCTTTTTTGTGTGTGAACATTGTTGTATGATAATGTTTTGAAAAACATTCAAACGAGAAATGAAATGTATATCTTCAAAACTACATCTTTGCTGACCTAAAAGAAGTCATAAAGGTGCCACAGTCGCAATCTGTTGGCAATATATAGGACGAATAACCAGCCCATACTTCGTGCACTGGCTATTGCAGTCTGATCACGGTATAGCAATTGGTTGCCCTTGCCAACCGTTGCCAGCTTACCTGTGCAGCACTTGTTTGCTTCAAAGCTGGACACTTGTTGCACACAATGGCAATAATTTATTTTTATAACAAATAACCAGAGTTTTGTTTTAAAATCCTGGAACGTCAGTTAATGGGCAGTTAAAAGGCAATAATTCAAAAGTTTTGAGCAATGAAGATTTTTAGAACAGATTTTGATTTACGCAAAAATCTTTATTTTGTAGTTTTGACATGTTGAAGTTTTCAATTTTCGAAAATACAGAGAGTTCGTCGGAAATATGTCTAGCGCCATATTTTTTGCCGTCCTTCGATACATGCAAAACGAAAATTTAAAGAAAAAATTGGAGTCGTGTTTGAGAAAAAAATTAAAGATTGCCAATATTTCACGCAAAATTATGCGAAAAGTAATGATATCTTCGAAAAATTGTACATGACCTTATTTCAATATGTCTTTAAAGAACAGATTTCATTAAGGAAAAATTATGTATCTTAAATATTTTACTTGTAAAAAGAAGCGGAAACAAAATTGCACTTTTGCAATTTTCGAAAAATCAATGATTTTGAGAAAAGGGAAAAAATAAAGAAATATGAGTTTTTTGTCTTTAACTGTGCTTTACGCTATCCGAGGGCAAAGTGTAATAAAAAAAGTTGAAAATTGGAGGCTGCTTATAAAAGTACTCTAAAATATAAAAATATGTTTCAGGTTCCCAAAGCCTCGAGTTCGTTCAAATCGACTGGAGAATATCAATTTTGGAGAAAATCGGCTGAACGGTTTAGCCACTAGCATTGACCATGGACGAACGGACAGATGGACGTTTAGCCGTCAATCGATTTTTCGGTATCAAGGACCCAGAAAACATGGATTTTGTCTACACCCAGAAACGGTGTTGGGTTATTTTGCTCCCCATATAATAATAATAATAATAATAATAATAATAATAATAATAATAATAATAATAATAATAATAATCATCATCATCATCATCACCCCCTCAGGGCTTCCCATCTGGAGAGTTCGTGGGTGGTGTCCACGGGGTCCTAAGCTGTATCGAGCATTTCTTCCACTTGTGCTTGATACTGTCTACTCTCTTATTGTGCCTCCTTTGACCAACTCTTGCTTCTTTCGACCTCGATGCTATTAGGTTTCGAGGATTAGGAAATCTTTCAAATTTCTTACTTTCTCTACTCTTCAACTTCCTACCCCAACACCTTCCCAACGACTTTTCTCCCTTTTAAACCTAACCCCAGCTCTTGCCTGACTGGGGTAGGGTTGTATCTTAAGGGTCCCCCGGCAGAAGGTTAAAATGTTAGGAGAAGGATATCCCGAAATAAAAACCGCTATGGAAGGTCCTATAGGATCAAACCTTACGGTGCAAGAGCTCGGATCCCCAGGGCCGGCGGCTAGGAGTGCATGAGCAGCAGGCGTCGCCGTTCACCGACTGCAAAGGCATAGATGTGCCCATGTAGCATCAATGTCAGATAGTACACAAGTGGAGGAGTACACGGGACCCTGGAAGTAGCTCTAAAGGTGCAAAACCATTAGTATAGTTGCGAACCAGTTGTGGGATAAATGGAATTGCATGGAACAGCTGCGAATGTCTCAGATGAAACTGATAGAAAGTCTGGCCTGTAATCTGAGTGTAGTTGGGAGCAATTTGTTAAGGAATAATCCCACAAGTGAACGAATCACTGGGTGAAGCCTCTAGGAAATTGGCATGATGAAGAACAGATGTCACGCTGTGGCAGAAGAACGAGGAGAAGTTCTGACAACTGATCCCTATGATGTCACACGTTAATCACTCTTTGGGATAGAATATGACTGGGCTCGAAATAGAACGCGTAGCGTGTTCATAAATTATCTATAAGCAAATAACAACATCAATAATAATAATAATAATAATAATAATAATAATAATAATAATAATAATATTCGCCCTGAGGAAGGTCGCAGAATGGCGACCAAAACGTCGGCACCTTCGCCATGGACGCGGCGTCACCCGGACAGCCAATTAAATACTGACTCCGGCCGCAGAACCCTACGCTCTCATTATCCTAGACCTGTCGGATTAGCCCACCGCGTAAGTGGCACACCTCAGCATGCGAGCCGCCGATGGCAGAGAGTTGATGAGACGGACCCTGTCACTGAAAGAGCTACAGCCCAACTTCAACCAGAACAACCGAACGTGGAATATATAGAGACCAACACATCTAGGGAGTCCGAAAATTCCACTTCCAGGATACAAAATACTTCTTCCAGAAATCAATTCACATCGAAATCAACATAACCGACATAACAGAATTTGGTTGATAAAAGGAATATGGATGGGTATCTGACATCTACAGAATTTGAAAACATACGTTGAGAAGTTAGGGATGAATTACAGCAAAATTGATACATCAAGAACTTGCTGTTAAACACTGGCCGCTTGACTCTTCTACGCCATATTACTAATAATATCCAGGCCTTGTATTGATAACAGAGATCTGTGATGTAGTGGCAACTAATCGTACATGGAAACTAATCGTTCTACTCTTTGTACTCTCTACACTGTCAAAGCCGACCTTCTGAAAGCCTTCACACACATAAATAGTAATTTAGATCAACATACACGAAGGTTGGAAGAGGCCGTCTATACAGACGGTTGGGTACAAGTTGGCCTGATCCTCACAACCCTTCTCTGCCATCGACAAATACAGGCACAAACCAACGCAAACAGGCTAGGAAGCGGTTCAAAACCAAAACACGTAAAACTGCGCATTCTAACTCACTTGAAAACAAAGACATTTATGCGTAGCCTAAAAAACAAGTACTTATTTTAGCTGACAGCCATGGCCGCCATCTTTCCTCCATTCTCAGTAGGAAGTTACCCTTCAACTACTCAGTCTTATCTACTCGTATTTTTTTACCTATCGGGAGGGTTTCAGACGTGACTGCAGAGTTGGACACCCACCCAAAGACACTGACCAATCAGGACACAGTCATTATCATAGGAGAGCAGAATGACATCAATTTGGGTGGTCATTTTACACCTGAACAGCATGTTGACACACTAAAACTTGTCGCCCAAAACACGAACATTATAGTCTCGATTCTGTTTTTCTGGCACAACAAACCAACACTGTGCAAAGAAATTAAAGATGCGAACAACCAATTGAAACTGCATCTGAGAGACACGTGTTAAATTATTTGAGTTAAACTTTCTCTCGGAAAAAACACTTCAACCTTGTCGGGAAACATGCACTCGATAGTGAGCTTGCAAAACACATCATTTCACAATCTCGGTAGTGTCCTGCCCAAGACCTAACCCCACCCATATCTCCCAGTTTTCTTCCATCCTTCCTAAGAGGCTTCCGGGACAATGACCCCCATATCGTTCAGTTTTTGTCCAGTTTCCCTGATACATTGAGTAAATGCTGATGTGGTCCCTTGTTTTGCTTCTGGACGTAAACGTAGCTTCACTATGCGCACGATTTGTTGCACTCTCCTTTGTAGTGGTAGGAGTAGAGGAAAGGGCGAGTTACTATTTCGTTAGCAATGCAGAAAAATAAAATCTGCAATTTGTTTACCGTTTCAAATAAGTTTTATATATCTAGGGAACGAAATTGTCTAGTTTTTTAAATGTTGATAATCTCATGAATTTTTATTTTTTTAAAATTTATTTATTTATCTTTAACTTTTACTCATCTTTCAACTATTTATAGTTAAAATGATGGAAAGGGGTTCTAGAACTCAAGAAAAGGTGCGTAGATGATCTTCTTCCCCATAGATCACACACTGTTTTTGACTAAATAATTCTAAACAAATTATCAGTTCTCCAGCAGGAGACCAAGGCCCGTTGAATAGTACCTCATATGTCTTGATTGGTTCAACCGTGAGTGACGGATCCGCACACACGCATACTCGCAGTTACTCAAAAACTATATGCTAGTCGAGTGTGGCGTCGCCGACTCTACAAACTAATAAATACGTTTTAAAAGTATTTTCATGCGTTGAAAATTCATATCATCCATATTTTTGTTCAAATAGGTTCTTACAGTCTCTAACATTGGCCATACCAATGAATCCTGGAAGCGAATAATGTTTTACTCCTGTTCAAAAATTTGCAATCCCAAATGGCCTTGTGTGTTACCTCCGTAGAGGATATGAACTGGCAGTATTGCAATTTCAAAATTATAAACGCCGGAAAGTACTTGCTGGTACGAATGATGCTGAATGGCTAGAATTTAGTACAGCTACATTTCCCCCCGTTTTTTTACTATTATGCTCAAAAATACCATCTCCAAGCTGCTCTTCAGCGTTATTCTCTAATAAGATCATTAATTTGTTCCGACACTTCTGTCGCAAAATCTTCTACAACTTCATTTTATTCTTTGCCCCGGATTTGCTTAACTCTTCCACATTTTTGTTCCCTAATTTTTGAAGAGATTAAAAATCCTCAAAGTGAGTCTAATTGTGTTCATTTTTACTTCTGCAATTGCTCTATTTATCATTTTATAAGCGAATCTACATAAAAATTAAAAGGTAACTGTTTTGTATGTTTATGTGAATAACGTATTACGTTTTATTAAGAATAAGTCATTACTCACATTAATTTAAAAATCATTTTTTTCACGCTTAAGAATGTAAATGTGAATAGTCGACGTAATGTAATAGTAACGTAAGAACGTTAATGTGCGTCTGCAGCATTTCTCACAGTGGGTTTTCTTCGAGTTCAAAAAGTTCCAAGGCAATACCCTTCTTAGGTTTTTCCAAATGTAGTTTAAAAAATACGTTAATACGGACGCAAATTAAATGAAATCTGTTGCGCGGCAATTCACGTGTCGCTTTCAACGTAACCTAGATCTACTTGGGTGGCGTTGGTTTAATTCGCTGCATACCCACTAAGATGACTGCATTCAATCACACAAAAACACGTTTTTGGAAATTTCTTAGAATCTTCGCCACAGATCCAATAACTAATTATCAGTTCCCCACCAGGATTCCGAAACGTGTCGAATGACACTTAATATATTTCGATTGGTCCACGGGAAGCGGTCTAACCATGGGTGAATACTAATTGATCTATGGTCTACCGTTAGTGACGGATCCGCACACTCACAGTTACTCAAGTACTGAATAGGGGTTATTTTTTTCTCAAAATATGGAAAAAGTACATATTTTTATAATATAATTTGAAGATCCTTTCTAAGTATATTAAAAAAAGAAGTCATAACATTGAGGGCATTGCACTTCCCGAATCCTACCGCTGTCCATGACACAAGGTTTAACTGAGCTTTAATCACATGGGAATATTACTTCTCATACTCACAGTCGGAACATAATTTTCCCCCTCATGAATAAAGCTCTGTCCCTATTAATGTTTTAACCATGGACAATTTTGTTTCAATTATAATAATAATTATAAATGAATTATTTATAATTTTTGATATATATATATATATATATATATATATATATATATATATATATATATATATATGCATATTTGGGGTATGATATCTACTTAAAAAATTTCTTTTTAATATAACCTTATTTATGAATTTGAAGTTTATCTCACTTCCCAAACTGAACATACTTTAGATGTACTTGAGGAGCAGAATTCCATTGAAACAATAAAAAAATACACAATATAACAAAAACCATAGAAATAAACAGATTCAAAAATTGAGCGATAAATTTGTTTATTTATGCTAAACTGTCTGTATGTATACAAATTTACATGCCAGTATGTGCACTATTCCAAGTCACCTGTTCTGCAATATTCTTTTCCCACACACCCAGCTGAAAATGAGGCACTCCAAGTAACTATAACTATAATATCTGAAGAAGTCTTGTGGCCAGGACACAGTAGTCTAGTATTACATGGTCATTAAAAGACCAAATTACAAATTAAATATATGTATATTCATAATTTAAATAATTCCAGGTAATTTGTCAGGAGATAAATTCTGAATCTGGGGTCCTTTTTATACTTCACACGTAATAATAGCAGAGACAAGAGCTGTAAAAATAATTCATGAAAAATGGTGTATTAGCAAAACACAATGTCTAATCTAATAATACAGCAAATGGAATTTATCAGCAGAAACGTGTATCAATTAATATGTTAAAACAAATTACTTTCAAAGTACCATTCACTACACCATTTGTGACATCTTTTATGTTCTTATTTATGTACACAGATACAAAATTTTTACTGAAATTTTCAAAAAGGGTAATACCTAGCATTAACAACAAATTAACTTGACACTATCACATGTTAAGCCTTAATTTTAAGATGTTAGCATGAAACGCAAATTCATAAAATAGGGTTCCCAAACATATCCAACCATGTACCACTCTTCATTTATTTGCTTCCTTAATCTGGCATTAACGATAATATTACTGTTTTTCTTGTTTATTTGACTTTTAAAGATTTTTTAAAGAATAAATAAATCTCTAAAACTGATTTTGATTCATATAAATTCAATAGATCAAAGGAACAAGAGTTGTTTGCTAATCATTAATATGTGAAAGGACTCCTCACCCAAAAGGGGTACTGGTGTAATAAATTGGGAATCTCCTAAAAGTAAAATTCTTTCATCAAAGTTGCACCATCGTTTGTAGGTTTCAGAATAACATAATAAAAAAATAAATTAAAATCTTCTGAATTATGTACGCAGAAATATTTCTTAATTCAGATGTGGTCTAAAAGGAGTAGTATGCTTTATTACCCTTGAAGATTCAGAAACAAATTTCATTGTTTCAGAATCTTATTTCAGGAATGTTTTGTCACTGTTCCATATTTTATTCATTTATCAAACATTTTATCAAGAAACCTTTGTACATGCTTTCATTAATGAAGCAAAAAAGAGGAAAAGTCTTCTAACAAATGAGGAAACTGGATTTCACAAATGTAAACATGGTATTTTGTGTTCTAATAATTTATGATTAAAGATAATCTGATCTTTCATTAAATAAGATTATTCACTATACTCCTTATTTTTAAAAAGAAAGTTTACCAAAAATGTAAACAAGCAAATCAAAATCTTTACAAATGCTTTTGACATGTGTTGCTGGTCAACTTGATGTGTATAACTGTTAAATACACAATCAATTTCACATTCAGCTTATTATATATGTATTCTGAAACTGCACATAATATCAAAGATTCATAAAAACGTTCACCAAATCACCATGAATAGTTCAAATTCAATCACTTTGTACATTCTGTACACATTTTCTGTACAAATATCTTTAAAAATTATTCTAAATGTGAATTCTTGCATTTACATTTCCAAAATATACCCTGCATAAAAAAGTAAAACCAATTAACAAATAATTTTTAATAAATTAACAAATTAGTACAGAATAGCAAAGTCCTATATATTGTAATCTGTTCATCTGCCTTTATTTCAAAGACTGCAAAACCGAGTTCAGTGAGACTCTCTTTCTTAATTATACTTTTTCCATCTCAACAAAACCATTAAATTTACAGTATAATTATGTTTCTGATTATTTCTAATTTTTATTTAAACTTAAAGTAAAACAAAAGGAATAGTTCATGAATGTTTGGTAATATTGGTATCTTTTTGCAAAATACTTTCAGTATACCTTGTAAGATTACTTTTTTAAATAAACATCTCAAGTAAATTACACCCATAAAAAACTCCATGATGATTTCTTATACAAAAATAAATTATTTCTGATTGTGAGTAAAGAGTCAATGCATATAATATATGCAAGTTTTGACTTTTTAACTCTCCTGAAAGAAAGTGAATGTATGCAATGGCAAAGCAAGGGAGGTGAATTCATATTTAATTAAATATTTAAAATCAAAATAGTTGCACTAAAAAGAAATTCAAATGGAAATTTAAAAAAACACAAAACATCACTCAATCTAACTCCAGGAAATAGTTTGACTCAAAAGATAGCTGACTTTTCACTTTATCATTCTTTGATTGTAATATACTTCTTAAGACAATTCTTGAGAACTTTCACATTTTTTTTTTGTTCATAAAGGAATTATAACTCCTTGCATTCCTTTAGGGGTATTAAAGAGAATTCTTATTAACATCACTAAAATATGAGGCAAATCTCATTGTCAATGAATTTTCCAAGGAAAGAAAATTAATGGCAGTATTAAATTTAATTGTGAACATAAGCAAACATTTATTTGAATGAACTTGGATACAATCGCAAGGCCAGATATAAACTTGCATGCCCACTAACCTGTGTGAAATCGTAATTTATAGAAATAAATTATACAATGCAATCAAAGATATATATTTGTATTGCAAATATATCATTGGAAGGAAATAATATTTTAACTAAAATAATCTGATCAGATACTTGGCTTACAGATTGACGATTCACAAAATTTATGATTAATGTTGATATAAATAAGTATACCAACATTTTGAAGATCAAAGAACTATGCCGTAATATGCAGTCTCATCATTACGCACTCCAACAAATATCCTTAGATATTTTTCAGCACCCACAAATTGGACGGCTTCATTATATACTCTTCTATTTAACACAGAACAAAAAGTCTGAATTGACCAACAACTACTGGCAAAACTGTACAACAAAAGATGAGATTTTAATGTCAAAAGATAAAATACAGATATTCTAATGCACAACATAGAATCTCCAGGGAAATGTTTTGAAGACTGTTGTCCATCAAAAAAAACAGAAGGAGTTATTAACTAACTATAATTATACTGACATGTACAAAGTTATTTAAGATAACTATGATTATAATTTTAATATAACAATATTAGAATCACTACTGTAATGTATAAACAATGCAATACAGACCTTGAATCACTAGCGTGTAATACAAAAGGATGCACTGAATCCAATTTTTAAATTATTTTTCAACAGAAATAGATGTGGCAATAACATCAACAACAACAAATGTTCAACAATTTTGGAAACTTTTTACAGATACAAACAATGAAATGTATCATGACTTTCCTCTAGCAATGCAGATGAGTGTGTTTTTCCCCAAAAGAAAAAGAAGAATAACAATTAAGTTTCAATATTGATTTGTGACAAGAACTAGAAGTGATGGAACAAAGAAGACAATTTTATCTCACACCATCGAAGCAACTACTTTTAATTGTCACTACTCTATTACCTTTAAGGCTACCCCAGCTATAAAAGTATCAGAATGGTGACAATAGAATTTCAAATACATGGGCAATATTATGGACCTAAAGTTTGTTCAAAGTATTGGTTAGCTCAGAGAGAGCAAATGAGTATAAACTAGGAGACCTGGATTCAATTTCTGGTCAGGGTAAGTAATGTTTGGATCAATTTACGAAATAAATAACTTTTTTTTTACATTCGAATTAGAATATAATATTGATTCAGCAAAATTTGCAGAAACGTTTTCAGGGAAGTCATTTTTGAAAATTGTACATATTAAGAGAATGCAAAGTGATAAAAAATATTTTTATGTTTACATAATGAGAACAGATGAACAAACATAAATTATTTATAAAAAGCAAAGTAAATGGAAAAAATTTGTTGAGTCACTTGATGTTACACAAGCCAATACATACACACATACATATTACATTATAAGAGCTAAGAGAAAAAAGGTAGAGGATAACAAAATATAGAAAATAATGAAACTTATTCTCATAAAGCGTAACACACACTCTTTCACTATCCCAAATAAATTCAACTGTCAACATGTCATACACCATGTTACATTTTCAGAAAGAACTGCAGTTACTGACATAACTATCACATTTATCATCAAATAATGGATTACAACTATACATATTTACAAATAATGCAGCCCCACTCTATACTTTTTCAGCTCCACTAACTTTTTCGATTATTTTTTATAAATAAATATACAATTAAGGCATCCATTATGAATAACAATAACATAAGAAACAGTTTCTAAGGTGCTACCATGAACAACACAAAATTTGATAATGTAAGAATTATGCAAGTAAATGCAGCATAATAAAAATAAATCTGCTTTGAAATCAATATTTGTACCATGAACTGGTAAAATACCAACTGCAATATTTACATAGTGAACAGATGGTAGTACATGAAATATAAGTGTAAAATTTGGGTGCTGATGCACAGACAGTTCATATATATATATATACAAATGGGTACGTACGATTTTGAATAAATAGAAAAATAGAGACATGATATACATATGTGTAATTCTAATTTGTACAAAGACCAAAAATTAGTATGCATGCGAAGATTAACGGTATTGTCAGCTGTGCTATTTGTAGCATATTGATGTCTTGCATCATAAATGCTACTAAAATACAGTGACAGCAGAGAGGAAAAGTATGCCAACTTCCTATACCATCAGATAAAGTTAAAGAGGGTTACTGAAGAGAATAATATGAAATATTTTTTCGTGTAACACCAGAATTAACATGAAATATTTATACTGTTATTGCTCATTTTCAGATGTGTTGTATACTAGTGATACAATATTGGAATGTTATGAGCTCAGAATTCATACACACATACTTTGCGAGAAGCATGTATGTAGTACCTGCTGTGCAGCAAAATATAGATATGTGGAAGATTTCCCTGAAACAAGGACTGTATTTTCTCCTTCTCCATACAAACCATAGAACTTTCTATTTACACTCACTTCTGTTTGTCCTTAAAGCGTATCTTCCTTCTAATTAAACATGTATTGTATTTTTAGTACCCCCCCAAATGTAAATAAGTATTTTATAATATCTCTGTAAAACAACAAATCATGTAATTCTTTTAAACTCAACTTCAGAGAAAATCTCTATCACAGACTAAGAGTGTCTACCACAAGTCAGGCCACCTAACTAGTGACAGTAATATTTTCTGTCGTTGCTCAGTGGTTGCACATTACAGTAGAAATATAGTTAGTGGGTGACAGAGGCAAGGACAATAGACTGTTTTCTTCATAGCTGCATTTTTCAGTTTGTCTACTTGTAAACTATCACAATTAAGCAAAGATTTGTAATTTTACTGTAAAGAAGCCCACTGTCACCAACACAATCTTTGTTAAGGTTGTGTGCTTGCTGGGTGCATTTCAACATATATTTCTCCCTGAAGAACAGTTCATTTTCTTATGGACATGGGGTACATCTCCTGCTATTCTGACATTTATCATGTAGTACGACATGATACTTTCCATTTCTTTCATTTTTATTATGTTACAAATTTTCTAAAAATTATCTACGGTACCAGATGTATTCAAGAGTCCTATATCATTTTAAGTATGACATCAAATGAGATGCCACTAACCACAATTTGACTCACTGATACAAAATATTTCATGAATATCCAAAGCAGACTGATTCTGATGTTCTGTTCTTCATTATTATGTGAAAATGGTATTGCATTTTACACCTGCAATATGGTTCTTGTTTAAATGTAACAAAAATTACAAGAATTACTACATATACACACATCCTGTTTAAGCATGGGACAGGCATGAAGTAGTTTCACACTTTACCAGAATTCATAACACCAATATTAGACAATGTTCCAACATGTTTAGAGGTTTTAGAAGAGTTTGTACCATTGCTGGATTCAATTCCACTATCTTCTGTTTCTTCTCCACTGTCAAGAAGAGAAGCTTCACCTTTTATTGTTTCAACAGAACGACGCTTATTCAAAGCTGGAGGTTCCAAAACAAATGCTGAACCAGAAGTTGGCAAGTCAAGTTTCAACCTGTCTCTAGTATGTCGCAACTCACCGAGTCCTGAAGTTGGGGATAATGGAGATGTAGGAGATGAATCAAGAGGAGAACCAGGTGATTCTGGTTCCTTCGTAAAATTTGTTGAGGTATTTTGTACACATGTTTCTCCCGGATCATCATCAATGACACACTCATTTGGTATATCTTCAGTCACAGGAGAAACTTGCTGGATTTCAACTAGCATAACTGTAGCATTTGTATGATTGTCACTGCATTCCTCTTTCATATTTGAGGAATTTTCATTGGTTTCTTCACTACATTTTGAAACTTCATCTCTACCATCAATTTCCACTTCAAAGGGTAGGAACTCTAAACTAACATCTGCAATTTCTGTGGGAGGAGCTGAAAGATCTTCATCATTTGAAGACCGATACAGTTGACCAGGAAAGAACTCGCTCCCATTCCCTCCAAACATGTCAGTGTTTGTCCCACTGAATTGGAAAGGGCGAGCAGAACTGCTAATGTAGAACTCTCCATCTTCCGACATTACACCTGCCAAAAGTTAATACAAAATGAAAATTTACGATCAAACAGAGCATGAACTGCATTTAAACAATGTATCCATGAGTGAACATTCAGTGACAAATATTTGCCCAAAACCATGATGCAAAAAGGAAGTAAAATGCTGATGCAAAGACAAGGACAGCAGTAAAATTGTTTGTAACACGTGAACAAAAGCAGAGAGAAAAGGTAATTCTAATTTAGCATCCCTTGTTACAGACAACAGATATTATCTTGTAAGATTGGGAAAAAGTTTAGTAGTGCTCTCCAAAGTACAAATTAGCAAATACTATCAAACTTTGTGATGTTATTTACATGTTGCAGATGAAGTAAGAATAATTTGAAGAACTCAAATTAAGATGGAGTATTAATTCCCATAACCTACAGATTTACAACAAAAGTGTTGGCTCCTTTTCATATCCTACAAATTTTCACTTTTAAGTCTCCAAGTTAAAAAAAGGCCAGTAAAACAGTTTTATTCTTATTAATGTTTATTTGATTTCAGAAAGGTCACTAACAAATTGCCTTACTATTCATGTTGACGCAACATCCTTGATTCACTGCTCTGTATAGGTCACTCACCAGCACTAAGGTCACAGTCCACATTGCTGAGCTTGTAGAAGTCAAAGGTCTGAGTCGGCTGGGCCTGGGGCAACTCAGGGTCCGTGTCTATGTCAGGCCCTGAAGACTCAGCCACATCCCCTTCCATCAGCTCCCAGTCTTAACAATGACAGCAAAGGCACATGCAGCAATGGAGCTTAGTTTGGAGCTGCCATCCCAAAGAAAATTAGCATGCGCACATTCAAAGTTTTGAATGAAATCTTTACTGCTCAGCACTCTGATCTCTCAGGTCATGGGATTAGTGTGTTAGCAATAATTTCTCTTGTTTCCCCATTTAGATACCAAATTACCACATTGAAAAATATCTGCGAGAAAGATTATAACATTTTCCTCGGAAATCATGTCAATGCTACTCAAATTCTGTTGAAACTTTATTAATTTGCTGAATATATCTAGAATAAATTCTTTTAACATCAAAAACACAGTGTACACATGCTATAAGTGCTTTAAAAACTCATCTGAGAAGATGATATAGTCATCAAATCAGAGAACCTCGAGTAACAATGACAATTACATATACCAGAGGAACAGTGATTTATGTAACTAGGGATTCATGATGCAGTGCTGGAGAAAAAGTGCTAGTCTTTGTGAGCGAATTAAGTGAGTATGTACAAAGCCTTTTTAAAAACTAATTACTTACCTGCGTAACTAGCATAATCTACATCAGGCTGATACAAATCCCATCGTCTTCGGGAAGGTGAATCAGTGCCTTCACTTTCAGAATCACTGGCCTCTCGGGGATATTCATACACACAATGATATTTCTGTTTCTTGAAAGACACATTTTTCTTTTGTTCCTGAAAAGAGCATATTAAAATATAATATTTTACCAAAGTGATATATATCCATCAAGTGATGAACATCCATAAAAAACGTGGTTTTTCAGTGGTTTTCACAAAGAAAACAGTGAAGGAAAGCTGCACTTTCACCTTAATCCATATTCTTTCTAATTTTTAAAAAAGCAATATTTACATTTTAAACAAATTGCATTAATTTTAAAATATAAACTGAAGCACTCTTATACTTACATATAAGTCATCAATTTCCTACCGCAGCACAAAACAAGTTAACAAAAATTACTGAAATTATACTGAAATCAACACAAAATGCATACGAAGCAGCCAAAAGTAATTACAGATAGGACACAACTGTCCATTAATCAATTTCTTAGGTATGGGTTACATAGCTTTTTAAAATAAACAAGCAAAGTAGGTGAATAAAAAAAAAAGAGATATGAGAATAAAAAAAAGTTAATTTAAAAGAGAGGTAATCAATTAGATAATAAAAACGAATTTAAATGTGAATACTGACTATAAATCTTTAGACCTGCAATATAAAATTGTGTAATTTGAAATAACTTGTATTCACTTACAACACTTTCAAATTATTTTATTTTATATTATTAAAAATATGATGGTTTGTTAATTTCCAGAACTTGGCAAAACTGGATCATTAGTTTTATAGGCATAAAAATATTATATTTATTCATCTCAAATAGTCTCTTAAAACATGAAAATAGGCTATAGCCTATATTCCTCATATAGGCTGTAACTTATCACTATAGTTATAGCTATAACTTCTATTCCAAATTCATATATAATTTTTTCCATAGATAGTAAAAATTAAAATGACAATACCTTTTTAACATTAATTTTATTTTAATTCAAACTACTTTATGAAAAGCATGTGCATGAATTACTAAAAGGAATAGACATGTGTAAGTGCTAAAACATCAATTATATTTTGACTCATATTTTTGTAAGTAGAAAATGATCTTTTAATTTCAACACTTGAAGCTGGTGGGTGCATATTTTTATACTGAAATAACCGTCAGTACATTAATTCCCTCTTCCTCTTCTGATGCAGAGTGGAGCCAAAATAACAATTTATATTTAATATTTAATAGAGTTTTCAATTCAAAATCCTGATCTGGAACGCTTTCAAATTACTTTTTTATGGTTTTAATTACACTGAACAGGCTCTTTCAGACCCTACTGGAGACTTAGGCATTTAGGCACTTTAAATGCTGTGCCTTAACATCATAAAGCCCAGAAATGTCTTCAATAACTAATTTAGAATTATTACTACAGACCAGTTAAATATTTTTTGCCTAAAGATCCTGAAGTCACTAGACCTTGATAAAAACACAGCCACATATTGTAATTGAGAGCCAAATGCATATCATAATATGTAGTTTCACAGTTCTATCTCTAGACTACTTTTTTAGGCTGTAGAATTAAAATTAAATGGATGTTTCACATTTAATTTCATTAGTTCAAATGGCAAGAGCTTCTTACGGCAAGAGTTTCTTATTTCAACATTTATTTCAATACAAGTTGCAATGCTAGTCCACTCTCAGAAAGGAGGACAGTCTTCGTGATTGTAAGAATCCCTCAGATGTTTCTCACAAGAGAAAATAAATAAGTATAAGGGTTATAAAATAAGAAACATTAATTGATTATTTTTGTTGGTCAAAATAGTTTAAATTTGCAACCAAGCAAACAATAAAATGTTAAGTTCTCTTTTCAAATGAAAATAGAATAAAGAAGAAAAGAAATTAAGATAAATATAAGCAAATAAGCTGGAGTAGAAAAAAGTTAAAAAGAAACTTTGTATTGAATAAAAAAAGTTAACTTTCCTGTTAACTTTTTCAGAGTTACTCATGATTAGAATTGAAGCTCCATTTATAAAAAATAAGTGTCTCAGATTAAAGATTATATAGCAACTTTTAATCATCAAAATATATTGTTAACCCTTAACTGGTAACACTAACTTCTCAGATTACAAGTAGTAAAACTTTTTGCAATATCAGCTATTCTACACTCTATTAGAGTATAATTTACTATACTACATGCAGTATAAATTTCATGTAGGAATATATGTGTGTGTTTTAATATATATTACACACACAAACACACCACTAGAATGTAATACATTACATTTTTATATGGTCATGTTCCTGAAGTACGTTTCTTTTGCTAAGTAATTTTCAGAAAAATGTTTGGTTATAAATTTTCTGAATGTCAATTCTCTTTGCAGGGAGGGATCCAGAGATGTATTTTGGAAGGGGAAAGTTTTCTTATTCCAAATGTTTTGGTTGAATGTGTCATATTACAGATTATTCAAAAATATTTTTGCTTGAAAGTTTTGTATCAAGTTAAAATTAATAGTTAGTGAAGAATTTTGAGAGGGGAAATTACCCTCATTTCCTTTCCCATAGATCTGCACCATGGTGTTACCAAAATTATTTCCAGTTAATTGCAATTCATTATTGTAATGTTGCATATATTACTAAAACCAATTAGAAAATATTTTTTAAGCAACTTCTAATAATACAATTGAAATAAATATGTAGGGATATCAGAGATTGAGGTTACTATTAAAGTCAAAGAAAAGAAGTTACCAGTTGAGGGTTAAGTAAATAAAAAAATAAAAATTTCTTTCAGTCAAAACATGAGAACAAAGAACGTTTTTGTTATATAATCATAGTATATACAGTTTTAAAAAGGAGTTCTGTGAATGTGTGAATGAAAAATAATTTAACACACTAGAATTTTGTTTAATAGTTAAATAAATGGAGGTCCAATTCTATCTGGATATTACTCAATTGAATCACCTGTTTCTTATCTGGGCTCCGAAGAGCGGACCTATTAGGAGTTGCTTCACTATTCCATGCAGAAGGAATAAATTCAGTTCCACTCTCAGAGCTCATGCTACCATCATCCTCTTCATCATCATCTTCATCTTCTTCTTCCTCTGCAATAACTTCCATTCCAAATTCCGAGTGGCCCTCAAATGGCTAGAAAATTATGAAAAAAGTAAATCACTCTACAAGCACATCTAATCATTAAAACTGACAGAAATATTAAAATAAAAAATACTAATAACAGAATTCACAATGAAATTATCCGAATGTCTGAGTCAATACATAAACACAAAATATTAAACAACACAAATATTTCTTTCTCATCAGAGCAAGACACTTTACAATTCTATTTGAAAGAAATCATTTGAAAGGAAGATAATTAAGAACATGAAACATTTTGGCTTATGTTCCAAAGCATTTGGTTTTCAGAAGTGAAAAAAAAAATATTTCACTTTGAAGATTTTTCTGAACAATGAGCTTGTGCACCATAATCTATGCTCACTGTTTAGAAGAAAAATATTGATTTTGGTGTAATAAAAATTTGTATTCATATCATTCACATAAATGCATAAAAATAATTTCTACATTTCATAAGTAATTTTGGCCAAAATCACAATATACTTTTGAAAAGACGCCCGTTTATTAAGAAACTAAAGATATTGGGAATAAATAAAACGTTCTTTTCACTTTTGAAAATTGTACACAATTAGATGCAAACATTTTTGGTATATTTAACATTCTAATTTTGGACAAATTTTAATTTCTACAACAGTAACTGATTTACAAAGAATTGTTTGCAAATTAATTTTATTTCAAAAGTAATTTATTTTAACACACTCCTTCCTATTCACGCATTTATGAATATACATATCAATATTTAAGATCTTTCAAGATACATGCATAATCCGGTGTTAATATTACATAATTTTAAATTTACAAATTTAATGAGCTCATTAATTGAGCTAATTTAATGAGTTCATTTAATAATCTCATTAAATACTGCTATAAATAAAAATTAAATACTGATTAGGTATTAAACACATGAAGACTTTCAATAAACAATTCAAACAATAACCTATTTCAATCACAACTTGTAGATTTTCTAATACATTATCCACTAAAGATCTTATTTTCTGAAAACAGTATAATTACATTAGTATATGTTATATCACAAAAGAGTAAATGAACATATTCACGGGTTTATATTTAAGAAAATTTGAACTTTATAACCAATAAAGAAAATGACAATTAAAATGATTGCATGTTATGATTACAGTTATAAATATACACTACTGGTTATAAGGTTTTAAGAAATTACACACAACATTTAACATAAAAACACACAATACTTGACACACATTATTCAAGTGTGAATGAAGAATGTTGGTCAAACAGCATAACTGGTTAGTTAAAACACTAGCTTGGATTATGTGTGGATCGTAAATAACAGGGTGAGAAGAAGTTTATGTTATGATCTAGAAAGACCATCCAAAGTCTTGGTACATACAGCACTAAGTAATCAGGAGGCGTACAAGTAATTTATAACATGCAACTTACCTTTGAGGCACCACCAGAAGCTTGGATATCAACAGCCTTGACAGATGCCTCTTTATCACCCTCCTAGGAGCCGTCACCCATCACACAGGGCACAAGGGAAGAAAGAGTAAGAACAACGAAACGACAGACAGTTTTAGAAAACAAACATAGGACATTGAAGAGAACCCATACTACAAAGGGAAGCAGTATATACTGTTAATATTCACCACTTCATATTTTACATTGTTTTCTACCTGTATAAGGAATACTTTCTATACACCCATGAATTCACATGCAATACACACATTTATCAACATATTCCCTAGAGGTACAAAATAATTCAGGAAGGAATCTAAATTGTGTATTACATTTTTTTGTATTCTCTTTATTGTCAAACAGAGACTAATATTTTTCATGAGAAGTGATATATAAACACTTACATAACTGCAATTTTAGCAACCTACTTAAGGGTACCTTAAAATAAGTTTGCCATTTTGAATAAGTAAGCTGAGAGTACAAAATAAAATTAATCCCTTAAATTAAGATACAGTGAAAGTTAAAAAATAAAAATACTTTCACCAATTCAGTACTACCCAGAAAAAGAATGCTGTATGCAAATTTTACTGAAACATTCCACCCTGAATTATGAAATCTACTCTAACTGAAGTAAACAGTTAAAACATTTTTATACAGTGTGCCACAGCATAAACATCACAAAGGACCTTACATTCATAGATAAAGCCAGGGTCAAGTAGAGGGAATAACTGTACTCAAACTGTTATGAATGGGATAATTTTACTCAAAACAAATTAATATAATATACTGCATTGGAAATTTTACTGTAGTTAGATAGAAAATAAATAAAAGAATTAAACCTTTCAATAGTTAAATATTTTTCTTTTTCTACTAAGACTATTTTTCTAATAGATTAAAAAATTTCAAATGAAATGTCTCCCCTATTGTTGTTTAAACATAAAGTGTTACATGTTAACAGAAACACAATGTAATACAGAACTTCTGAACTCCAGTTTTTTGAATTGATTTTGGGAGAGAAAAGAAACATTGGAAAATATATAATAAATTTGGGTAACTGAAGTTTTACTATAAATTAAATAGAGTCCTTCCTCCAAATTGACTCCCCCTGGCTATGCCTATGTTTACTGAATAAATGTAAATGTGAAGGTAAAGACAAATACATAAATCTCTAAATAATAAGGAGATAACATGCAGCATATGAGTGTTTATCCTCTGAGACATTTTTCAGGCATCATGCATTTGGTGCACAACATATAAAACAATATCATGGATGTGATTTATTCTATGATAATGTACTAAGAACATGTCTGTCCATCATATCTCCATATACATCATTGCATGTATGTGTGTATAGATAATAAGTTTATGCAATATTTAGGAGAGAGAGTGAGTGAATGAGAAAAATGTGTGGTATGAGAAAATGTATGGCATGGTGAGGGTGGATGTATATGTGTGTGTGCATGATGAGTAAGTGAAAGTGTGTGAATGTGTATGTATGTGTGTGTGTGTGTGTGTGTGTTGGTGTGTCATGTTTTATCAGAATAATCACTGAACACATAGAAGCTTAAAAAGTGATAATCCACGTCAGATAATAATTTGCTACAGACAGCTTACTAAAAATATCTTAAACTTAAAACCCAATGGTGTATGTATTTTTGTAAAATAGTCAGTATATTACAGGAAGTAGGTATCAAAATCTTCTTTCTGTAATAGTCGTAAGTAAGCTAACTTCTTGTATTTAAAAAAATTGTATGGAATTTGATCGCAGGTAGAAGGTAGCATATTTCTCATAAATTTCAAATGAAAAAGACAGTAACTGTCATATGTTTAAAATGCACTATCTAAACTTATTACAATTTGCATTGTACATGTTTTTTCCACAAAATTGAATTTATTTTCAATTTTGTAATTGAAAGAAACGTTTGACTTTTATACCTTTAGAAATACTGGACATGTATAAAAATCATTCCAAATAAATTAACCTACAAACTTATTGGGTTTTTAAGGTTATGATGGGCAAGAAGAGAACACTTACTTCTACTGAATAAAGTATAGGCCTACTACTAGAAAAGCAAGACTGATACTGGATGGTACTTGTTTCAATTTATTCTTAAAATTAACTTTCTCACATATTGCAATTTCATTCAGAAGAAAACTAATAAAATTATTTTTCGCTTCTTTTAAAAAAATTTTGCAGACATAAAAAAAACATGTAATGGGAAATAACAGCCCTTCCATTAAGAATTTAGAAAATATAAAAAAAAAGACAAAATTTATTTTGTCATAGTTAAGGTAGATCCAGTGGCAGGTACAAGAGGAGGAGGGTGCAGAGGCCACTGCCCCTCCACTTCTATTTATTGGTAGTTACACTCAAATTAGTCAAATAATTACCACATTTTTAACATCAGATCCAAAGAAGTATTTCTATTACAATTATAATTTTTTTCATTTAAAGTTAAAAATACATGCTTTTTAAAATGAGGGGCCACGGGATGGGTCTAAACTAAAAGCCCCACCCCAAGAATACTTTCAGGATCCGCCCCTGGATCAAGCAAAAATTAAGGTTACATCAATAAAACAAGTAAATATATTACATATTATTCCAATTAAATTCCTTATGAAACTGCAATTCTTTATGAACCTGTATTTATTTCATGAAATTTGGAAAGATGTGAAGGAGAAATAGGACAAAGAGAGTGCATGAGCAAATATAACACTGGTATCAAAATCTAATACTATTAAAATAGCTTATTTCTGTAATTTTAAACAAACATACCTTCCAGATGAACTCCCCACTGGATGATGAATTATTATCTTCTTCATTGGTATCATCTTCACTTTCCCAATCAGGTGTGTAGCAGTCTCCAATATCTTCTGAATCCTTTAAGCTGAATGACGTTGACATGAGGTCTTCATCATTATCATGGGAGGGGAAACCCGGACTGGTTGCTTCTGCATAGCTTTCGGTAAAATCATCTTCATTGTTGCATCGAGACATCATTTCATTCAAATCAGAGAAGGCTAACATAGATGGAATTTGTTTCCAAGATTCATCTTCAGGAGAAGGCATGGGTGCTTTGGTGCTCAGCAGAGCTGCCTCTAGGTTAGTAACACTCCAATCCCTGTCACTAGGTCCTTCCTCCATTTGCAAATTTTTCTTTTTCTTGAATAAATCTAAAGTGTCAGTTAGTCTCAAATTACTTTCTTTTTCATCTTCACAGCCTGTGACCTCAATAGTGGTGGATGGCTGACACTGTAGACCATCTGGAGGGTTATTGACACAAATGTTGTCATGAGACTGAAATCTCTTCAGGGCATTGCCTTGCTGTAGGGAAGATAGATCTAGTGACAAACTTTTCTTCCCTGTACACATTTCTGGAGATTTCAAGGAATCAGAACTTTCTTCTACAGATACACCTTCTGATCCTTCATCATCTGATTCTGTTCTAGATGAATCCTCACATGTAAATTTTGTACTTGTTTCTAGTTCAATAGGAACATTATCTTCATTCTCCTCTTCATCATTTCCATCATCTTCATCTGCTTCTTCTTCTTCTTCTTCCTCTTCCCTATCCTCTTCATCTTGATGTTGACAGTGAGCAATAATACCACTATTCTGTAGTTCAGTTATGATTTCTGCTGCTTCATTATTAGCAACGCCAATTGAAATTTCTTCTACCACATCAAGTGACGCACTTTGGAACTGTGGACAATTTAAGTTACTGGAAGCATACAAATATGGAGTTGGACCACCAGGAGATTGAGGCAGATCTATACTATCAATACTGACAGAAGACTTCTCTGAAGAACTAATAGGAACTTCATTCTGGTGATTTATAGTATGCACCTTCTTGCAATCTTGTAAAATAATTTGTTTATCTTGTCGAGGAGAAATACTATCAGGAGTGAATGCTTCATCATCAGACAAACACGTGTCAGGATCGACTTCAAGTTTCAAACATCTTTGAATTGACTCATCACTGCTCACAACAAGTGATTCATCTTTTACATCAGAAGGAGAAGAATCTTCAGTAATTTGATCTTCTTGCAATGGTATTGGTTTCTTAATAAAAGCCAAGTGTGATTTTGGTTTTGGACTTTCTAATAAAGTGGCTTGATTGGTTTCTGTATCAATAACAAGGAAGTCATCATCAAATTCAGAATGTGGGGAAGTACTTTTTACAATAGTAACATTATTTGAATTCGTGTTTTCACTTGCTGGACCAGAGGGCTGATCATCATGAGATTGTTCCAGATCTTCAAGTAGTACACTTTTATTCTTCTGGTCCTTATCACTAAAACTATCTGTGTCTACACTACTGAAGCTGCAATTTTCTAAAGCTTCGCGAATTTCTTCTTCAAATCTCTTTGCATCTGCTTCTGCATTTACAATATCTACAGTATCTAGTACAAACACTGGGCTAGCAGGTTCAGAATCTGATTCTGGTTGCTGTGCTCCTCTGGATACAAAATTGTCACTTAAAGTAGTGGTAATGGAACTTACACTTTCTCTCTCCTCAAGAATTGGGGATAATGGAGGCGGGTAAACATTGTAATGAATGGTAACATCTGTTCTTTCATCTTGGGAGGTCTCATCTTCTGGTTCTAGAATACCATCATCTTGAAGGTCATCATGATTTTGTTGACGGGCACAAGGTAATTTTTCTTGCAATTCATTTCGAATGGCAGCAACAAATTCTTCATTGAGACTAAAGGGTTCATATTGATTTTCATTGTTTGCAACATCATCTGCATTTGATACAGACGAGCTGGTGCTTTTAGGACTCATAAACACATCATCTAAATTGTCTTCAAAATTTCCTCCACCAGAATCAATACCTGCTTGAGGATGCAAGAACCAACCTGCCTTTTTAACTGGTGAATTTTCCCCACTGTCCATAGGAAGAGGTGACTGTTCTGGAGACAAAGCTCTAAATTCAGTCTGACCTATATCAAGCATAAGATCTTTTTCCTGACAAAATCTAGATTGAATGTCAACATCAAATCCATCTGACATAGCACATTTTAGATCACTGTCAAATGTTTCTTGATTGTCATAGGGATTTAATTCACACGTTGAATAAGATACTTTGTTGTTTGTAGACCCCTGTGGAGAGGTAACATCTGGCATTGGAGTGTCATTGGTTTCTATATTCAAAAGATCTGGGGTCCCTGTGGGTGAAACATGCTGAAGAATAATTTTTTCTGCATCTATGATATCACATTTATCACTACTTATTACGGTATTACTTGTTTCTTCTGAAATACTTAATACTCCTACATCTGAATTGGGAGAAAGATGAGTGCCAATCACATTGTCAGGTTGTTTCTTTTCTACAGTTACTTCACTGGCACTTCGAGAGATGTCAGCATCAGTACTTGAGATGTCTTTATCACTTGGAGCTACTTCATCAGGGTCTGCAAGATGTTCATGAGGTAGTTCTTCACTGCTTGTGTGATGCTCTAAGTCATCTTCATCTCCACTAAGACCCTTAACAACATAATTGAAACCACCTTTATTAAAAGTTTCCTCCAGTTCAGCCTCAATATCTTCAAGATTGTATTTCTCATCACAAGCATCTTCACAACTTTCACTTAAACTGCCTTTATCTCGAAAACCAGAATCACTGCTTCGTTCATCATCTGGGGTGGAATGTTTGGCCACGTCTAATCCATAATCTTCTCCATCATCTAAGTCTACTGTTGTATCATTCTCAGGATGAAAATCAGATGCGAATTCCTGACCATCCAATCCTATCCCCAAGGCCAGAAAGTTGTCTTCATGCTTCTGACTACGAAGGAATTCTTCATTTAAAATGTCAACATCTGCTTGTTTCCATTTTTCCAAGTTGTCCTTCTGTTCGAAAAATTCATTAGTGCTATCATTAAAACATAATTGTTCAGTTTGAGGAACATTCCCTTCCTCATGAGAAAGAATGTTATTAGTTTTCTCCGAAAAAATTTCACATGGTAAAACAGGGGCATATTTAGACTCTGAACTTTCCAATTCATTATTATAAATGTTTGGAACAACCTCTAAAGGCACATCTTTGGTGAAATGACTAATTGTTTTGCAAGATGCCTCAACATCACTTTTTATTTCATTAGAAGTTGTTTTGGATGCATTAGCTTTGCAAATTGACAATGATGATTTTGGTGACTCTTTGGAAGCAACTTCTTTTTCCACACCAATACAAACAGTTTTTGCAAAATTTTCAACAGAAATGATATCTGAATCTTGCACTTTGTCCTGAGCAGTTTCTTTGTCACTTTCATATGCACAATTTTTTTCTTTTATGTTTTCTGGAGATACTTTATTTGATAGTTGTGTGATTGGGGTTCTATTTACATTAGATACACCTTCATCATAACTAGTTTTCTCAGGAAGAATTCCATTGCTCTCTACAAAACTTAAATCTTTATCAGAGATATCTTTGCTAGTTTGCAAAATAATTTCAGGAAAAACAGGTTCAAGAGTGCACATATTAATAACTGGTTTCTGTCTATACAAATTTTCTGCATTGATCTCTTGCTGCAGAAAAGCAAATGAAGCAGCTTTTTTGTCCTCAAGAAGTTCTGGACTTGGAGAATCATCAAATGAACAAAGAGTCTTGTCTTGAAGATCAATTTCAGGGATACTCTGCTCCAAACTCACTAATGTATCTGAGCTATCATATTCTACGTTACTATCCGAGGACCTACCTAATGTACTAGCAACTACTGTAGGAACTTCATTCTCAAGGCTAACTGAGAGGCTGACTTCACTTTTCCCTTCGGAAGATTCAACGCCAGAACTGAGGAGATTGGTCGATGTTTCAGCCTCTACTACCTGCCCACAATTTTCTTCCAAGTCATTTGTTATATATAATACTGAATTTTCTTTAAGGGCTTCTATACTGTCTATGGATGCTTCTACCAATCCCCTTTCTCCACTTGCTTCATTTAAACTATCTGGATCCATAGACAATATATCTTCCTTTCCATTTGAGAAATACCCAGGAGCATTTGCAGATTCATTACTCAAAACAGCTGAACTTATTTCTGATACATTTACAGCAGTTGAAAGGGAACCTAATCCTGAATGAATTTCACTTGGATAATCACAGGTCTTTGAATTTACAAGCAATGTAGAGGTAGACTGTACTTCACTAACATGTTTATCTAAGCTATCTGGTGCAAATGAATGCAAAGATGCTTTGCAACAGTCCGCTTGCACACTTGGACTATTTTTGTCACATGTTGGACATTCTGCTCTATAACCTGCAACTCTTCCTTTTTCTGTTTCAGCTACGGTCATTGATGTACAAGCCTCCACACAACCATTTTCTTGCATATTAACATTTATTTCATTATTAGTACTAGTTTTAATGATAGAACTATCTTTAACATTTTCTTCAGCGGGAGTGGAAGTTTTAGATTCAAGAGATTGGCACGATTCTGGTTTGTGTAGATCGTTAGGTTGAAATTTGTCAGCACACTGTTTAGGACCTGACTGTACAACAGAACCATTTTCAGCTATTAGACAATTTACATTAAGATTATGTTCATCCTCATCAGGAGACTCAGAAGAATCTGATATGTTTGCACTTTCAGCATGATCCGAATCATCACTCAAAAAAGGACCAGCATCATTTGATATGGTTTTAAGGCCTTTAAAATAATCTAAAGTGTAATCTTCACAAGGGCCAAGAATCACAGAACCTTCTGAAATGCTATTTGACATGTTTTCATTGTTTGTTGCACTGGAAACTTCCTTGTGCTCTGTTTCCAGAGGGTCAGTTGGAGTGGAACAAGGTTTAGGCTCTGAACTTGTGACAGGTACAAATTCAAATGAGTCTGTTGAAATACCCGATTGCACACTTACGTTTGAATTTACATTGGCATCTGAGGAATTGAAAGTGGCATCTCGAGAATCAGAGTTTGATAAAATTAGAGAGCTGCTAGACAGACTTGTTTCCATATCATGAGCAGTTTCTGGAATGCCCTCAAAATCCACTTTTTTGGATTCATTTTTATTCAAAGATGCTTCAATCGAAGAGTCGTTGACATCTGATAACAAGGAAATCTTTTTAGGTGTGCTTGCTGATTTCACTTCAGGAATAAACTTCTCCTCATAGACAGATTCATTGAGATCTACTTCTTTTTCATTATCAAATGTAATTTCTGATTCACATTTCTTAGCAGAACTTTCCTTGGAAGGCAACAATGATACACTTACATTATCAGTGTTATCTTCATTACTATTGCAGCATTCTTGAGGTTTGCAAGACTGGAAGTCACTTGTAGAAGGTACTGGCTGACTTACATTACTACAAGTTTCAATGTTTAATTTTTTTACATCAGAATTTGATTCACTGACTAATTCATTGTCTGTTATAATAGGGGGAGAAACTGTCAAAGGCTCAACATTACATGTTTCAGTTAGTAATATGTTTTCCTCTTTATTATTTTGTACAAATTCCACAATAGATACTTCTTCTTCATGTTCCATTATAGCACCATTAACACAAACAGTAACTTTTCTTTCTGATGTGATGTCATCTGCAGGTGACTTTGCCTCGGTTCTAATTGTTGCACTTTTTGATTCTACAACATTATCATCCGAGGCATCATCCACTAAAAAATTGTTTTCCTTTTTCGTAGGAGAATCAATTTTGAGACCCATGTTCTCAAAGTCATCTGCATCACATAAAAAGTTAGAAGTTGGCAAAAGTGGATCAGCTGAATTTGTTAATGTTTCTTCTGAAACTGCTTCATGATTAAGAGGAGACAAATCCAAAGAACCTAACCTATTCCTCTGATCTTTTTGAGCTTCATGTAATTTTTGCAATGTGTTTCGAAATTCTTCACCGAGTACAGCTTGATGAATATTGCTCTCACTGGCAAATGCCAAAGCATTTGTATTTAGGTTGCCTCCTTTAAAAGAAGAGCCCCTACGCTGTTTAGAGAATGAATTGCGACTATTTGAACCTCTGTCAAATGTCCAAGTCAATGATGGAGGTTCTGAATCACTTCCATCACTACAATCAATATGTGTAAGCACCATTAGATCAGCAACACTTTTTGATTTCTCCTTAACTTTGGCAGTAAATTCACCACATTCAATTCTTTTTCTCCAGGTTTCATCTTCTGTGTCTGTGCCAGAATCAGTGGCTCTATTGTTGGCATCTCGACTGGATTTCTCCACCAGACTATCATCAAGCAAGCTATCTGGTTGAACTAAAGAAACACTTTTGGACCCGAATCTATCATTTTGCAATTCAGTAGGCCCAAGCCGAAAGTCTAAAACTACGTTTTCATTAGAAGCTATGGGTGCAACATCTTTACTAGGACTTTGGTGATGAGAACCTGATTTACTAGATGCAGGAGAGGATGATGAAGAAGAGGTCTTTTCCAAAGCTAATGCGTTATCCAGGTCTCTAATAGCTTCAGAAATTTTCCTCACAAATTTGGCATCTTCTTCATCAGTAGTTTCTACTCCTTGCAACCACGAGTCAAAGTCTGGTTCTAGGGCAACTGGTTCCACTGAGGTTTCATTTGCGTTATTAGTCTTGGACTTATTATCTTCTGGCAAGTCTTCATTTCTACTTTCTTCTTCATTGATAACTTCATGTTTAACAAATTCATCTTCTTCTATGTGTATCTGACCATTGCAGTCACTAAGATCATCCAGAGAGCCCCTCAGATTTTGCAGACTTGGTGATTTGTGCCTCTGTTGCAAGGACGGGAGGAATATTTCTCCACCAGAGCTACTAGTAAGAGAGGGTTGTGGAGAAGTTGTAAGAGGCGATGAGTCTGACATCAGGAAGGGTGTTTCCTGGGGAGTCAAATGGATTTCATGGCTCGGCTGAGTGGACGATTTTTGTAGTCCTTGATTAAGAACATTCATTTCAGAAGCCAAGTTACTGGTGACTAAAACAGGAGGGACCACATCAGTAAGGTCCGATCCCAGGAGGGAAGATGGACGATGCACGTCTGTGCTAGTGGCTGTGACATGGTTGTCAGTTACTGGGATGGAGTTTGGTTTAAATGTTTCCCACCGGCGTTCAAAATCTTCATCAGCTTGTGAACTACATGTCTCGTTATCTATACTGGCAAATTCACGATTTCCATACAAGTGATTTAGCATAGCAAGAACTTGAGGTAATGCTGGCCTTTCTGTTGCTTGGCACCAGCACAATTTCATTAAGTGATACCTGCAATACAAGTGAACATCATTTCATAATTTGGCAGGATATTACTTAAAGGCATGTTTCAATGCCTTTTACATAAAGGCATGCAATATTTGAAAAGTCTCGTAAATATATACTCGATCATAAAATGTTTACTAAAATATATTGTAATTTTCTCGAATTTATCATACCCTACACTTCGGAGCATCACAGAAATCAAGGGGCCTAGGGCAGTAGATCCTTGGGGGTTTTGAATTTCAAACAAAAGTTGCCCTCATAAATATTTTTAAATTATATTTCAACAACAGTGAAATAAAATTTCTTTTTCATGAAATTTTGTATTTTTTTTATAATTATATTTTAAACATTTTTTAAAACATAATAATCTATAATAAAATACACATATACTTTTTATTTAGGAGTTAATGCTTCAATCATATTCCAAGCTTTTATTCGCAGTTACTTTGCATTAGAAGTAAATACATTTTTATACATTTTGAATTAAAAAAAATTTTTTGGGGCCGTAGTTAAATCAAGGCCTTGGGCAAGTTGCCCCACCTGCCCCCTTCCTGGGTGCCCCTGTCTATATTTCTTTTAAATTTAGCTTTTATTTATTCAGAATATGAGATTCAATTTTTCAACACAATACTTACAAGTTGTGTCGATGGGGGCAAGATCTGGATGGCAGAGGTAAACATTTTGAAACCTCCACCAACACTTTCACTATCACTTCATCATCTGAGAGATCCTCATATGGCAACTTTCCAAACTCACATATTTCCCAGAGTACTACCCCGAGACTCCAAACATTAGCACATGGAGTAACTTCTTTTGTCTCAATGGTAGTATCTGTACAATGCAATGTCTCTGGGGCACACCATCTTATGGGTAAGGCCACATCACTGGTGCAATAGTAGTCCTCCTACAAAAACCACATTTTCATTTACAAGTGAAAAACAGTTAATTTAGGAAATCATATTTTCAGAGAGAAATCTATAACTTTTGAACAGCACAAAAAAGAGAACAACTTACCTTGAAAGTGTCTATACTGATTCCATAATCTCCAATTTTTACAGTGAGATCAGAAGTGACCAAACAATTCCTGGCAGCCAGGTCACTAAATAAAAGTGAAAGGAAAATAATCGTTGATTATTTTGTGAATATGAAAAAAAATTTAAGTCCCCCATGAATAAAATATAAAAAAATACATCAAGTGTCAATTTTAAAGATACTTACGTGTGCACGAACCCATGTTGGTGCATGAATTGTAATCCTGCAGCTACTTGACAGCACATTAGAAGAGTAACACCCTGCTGACTCAGTGCTTCAGCGGTTGAGATGTTCTGAGATAGAAAACTCTTTAGATCCCCCTGCAAATGCCATTGAATCTTTTTCAAAATCTTTTACTACATAGTCTGAAAACATTGCAGCATTTTATTAAATTATTAATTCTTGGATTGGAATAGATTAGACCCAGTGTAATATTTTTAATGAAAAGATAAAATTTAATGGAAACACTTTGTAACACATAAATAGTCAGGTCGTATCTCCAATGGGCAAGTACCATTACAAATAGCAGGATAATATAAAAACATTCGTAATGAAGCCAGAACCTATGGGAAAGATGATGGGTACCAGACAACCAATAAGAAGACCAATAAGGTTGAAAAGGGCAACAGTACAAAAAGATGGTCCCACTGATAATGAAAGTATATACACACATTACGACAAGCGTAAGTGTCATGAAAGTTCCAAAGAATGTATCAATGAAAGAATTGGAAATGAAATAATAATAAATTATTAATGAGAAATTTCAGGGGAACAATTGAATGATGGATGGTCAAGCAAACAATAATTTAGCAAGGAGAACAATTGTATGTTATCTCACTGAAACAATGGGCACACTCTTTGTTGGGATACATTGGAGGTCAGATTGGGATCATTTCTGCTGAGGCAGAGTGAAATCATGAATGAACAGGCACAGTAATCTATACTTATAGTAATGTTATCATGAGGATGAATACATGATGCCTTGAAATGAACTCTTGATTGGGAAAGGAAGAGGTTTGGTAAAAGGGAATGGGAATAAGTGTATTGTGGTTAATCAACAAGAACGCTAATAGGTGATGTTGCCGAATTGGTGAATCGTGTCGGAAATCAGGATAGTTGTTCAGGCAAGTAATAGAAGGCGGGTGGATGGTTTCGCTTGAAGGGTACTGCAGTCGTCCAGAACTAACAGCCAGCACTGAATAAGTAGGCTAGAAGTGGAAGGCTCTCTGGGTTGCAGGAGATGTAGCCCCCCCCCCCCCTGCATTGAGAATTCGATCAAATTGTTGTAGTTTTGTATTTTTTAAACATTTTTGGCGTTATAAAAACCAAGTTTACTTATTTAGCACCAAATTACAAAACAAACAAATATAGAAATCTGTGTGTGACGAACGAGAGAGAATTATAATCTGTGCAAATTTTCCTGGGCTGCCAAATCCTCTCTTTCTTACTCCACTTAGTTGAATTATGAATAAAGGCAGAATTACATGCTTTTTGAAAACATTTGATAACAAAAAATTAACACGATTTAATACAAACTATTTGCAGAGGCAAAAAGAAACAATTGTATTTAATAGAGCAGCTAACAAAATTACTGTATACATCCCACTCCTCCTGCAACTACCAAAAATAGAGCGCATGAAAGCGTGCACAGGTAGTGACGCTTACAGCATTGAAGCAAAGCAAGGAACCGTATCTGCATTTTCTCAATGGAAAATGAAAAAAAAAAACAGGTTTAAGATGAGAGTCATTGTCCTAGAATCTGTTTCTTCTCCTCAGTGTAAGGCAATGGTAAGCACTAGCTTTCTTTTCTCAATCAATACAGTGTTCAGTTTCTTGCGGAGAATAAATGGAGAAGTTCAGGAATTAAAATATGATAACAGAAGTAATATTTGATAGAATTAAGACAAAATAAATTACGTATGATGCACACGATATATACGATTTATGATTAGGGGCTACCGTTTCTTGCAAAAAATTGTTTTTGGTGCAGCAGAGTCATTTGCTGTATAGCGTGCGTTGGGGCACAACGACGACACCGTATCCTCTATGAATTGAAATTGAATAACGGATTATAGAAAAACACCGGTAACTGGTAACTTGTTGCAAGAGATTGGAGAAGTCGCACAGTTAGCAACATTGGCGCCCAGCGTGGGGTAAAACGAAAGTTGAACATTTGTGCATTATAGAGGGTTGCATTATAGTTTTCATTCCTGTTTGTGTACGTACTCAATATGTTAAGAATGAAAAATAAATAAATAAATAAATAAATAAAATAAAAAACAAGCAGCACGTACGCTGGTGCACGCCTCGAGGACGACAAGGAAGGGGTCGGTTTCGAGGCAGCGGCCGACCAGGCGCAGCACGTTGGGGTGGCGCAGGTCGCGGTAGGGCCGCGCCTCGTGCAGGAAGAACATGTGGTCGGTGGGGGTGGCGTCCTCGTGCAGAATCTTCACGACGACGCGTGTCGTGGCCTGCCCCGGCGCCACGCCGCGCGCCTCGCCTTCCACTGCCTGCGCACACACAGCCCCACCATCATTCTCATCGCACAGCGCCGCGGCCACACGTCCCCATTGCACAGACCCCAACAATGGTCTTAGGTCTGTGACACACGGGCGTTACGTCGACGCGCGTCGTAGATTAACACTGTATCTTATGCGGAACAGCCAAAGCGCTCGTAGGCTATTTCGCATAAGATACGGTATTCTACAACGCGCATTTCTTGTGGTGCATCAATTCAACGCTTACAGGGCCCCTTAGGAGGAGATGTGGGCCGCCCCGGTGTGCCAACATTTCATTCAATGCACTGTTAGTAATCAAATTAAATTGTAAAAATAAACATACATAAACTAAGATAAAAATGTAAAATGACAAAACTAATTATTAAACGACACAACTTACCAAAAATATAATTAATAAGGTAAAATTTTATAACTACATTAAAGGTTCAGTTCAAGAAATAAATATTGAAAGCAAAAGGAGGCACAAACAAAGCCTAGGGATCCACTTGTCCAATAATTTTTAAAGACCCATTGCTTTCAAGAACTTGAGATTTTTTTGAAACTCAAAATTAAAATATTGAACAACTTTAATTTAAACAATAAAGACGCCCCGATGGTTTTGTAGATTCAAACTGGATCTCTAATTGTTTTGTTTTAAATTACGAAAAATAGTTTATAACTGTTTTAATTAGAAAGTGTTAACAGTTGACTTACAATTTTTAAAAAACCCTACGAGGATGAATATTTGAATTAATGCAGCGACGCACACACTTTGTTTATGAGGTTGTTAAAGAAATACTCATGTTTTGGTCTCTCACAGTCTTTAATAAGAGAATAAATCACTAAATTTAAATGTGGTGAAATAATCTTAAGATTGTCATTTCAATATTCATATTCTCAAACGAAATTTGATTTTTTCTTTTCTAAATAAAGCATTTTCGGTTTTTTTCTTTCTTGTGTTCTCTTAAGACCATTTTCCCTCATTCAGGAATCTCTACCCGAAGTCGGTAGAGCTCACGTTCAACCTGTATAAATCAGAGGCTTCTTCTACAAATGTACAAATCCGCATGTGAAGTCTAATTTGCACTGCCTTCGACTGTATATAATAGCAAATCAGCCCAATTAATGAAGAAAACAACAACAAAAACACAAAATTTCAATGTGTTGTAGTTACGTACTTTAACATATGAACAATAAACAAATCAAGCGACTCTATGATCACAAGTCCCATAATTTCCGAAAACTATTAAATAAAACGGGGCAAAATGGATAAAACGATATTTTCTACTCAAAGCTAGTTTTGCTCAAACCACTCGTACAGTATGCTTTTTACTAATTCGACTACCGTTTTTGAGGGTGACCCTCATTTTCTCTCGGTTACTCGATACACCGCACCCAATACGAACGTGTTAAAGCAACATAACCGACTTGTTTAGTTGATTGTCTTTTCTTACCGTCCATAAACGGTCTCCTCGCCCACGCTAAGCGCTTACTCACCCGCCCGAACCAGCCGCGGCCCAGCTCCCGCACGTACTTGAGCTGGCTGCGGGGGAAGTTGGCGTGCGGGTCCTCTGCAACCGAATTATAATAATAATAATAATAATAATAATAATAATAATAATAATAATAATAATAATAATAATAAAATTACAATCGTGTATGACGAGTCAAATATGATATATTTAGAGGGAGTACAATCGCATACATCTTGGGAGCAGCGAGTGAAGTTACATTTATTTTTCTTGTCCAGAAGCAAAAAAGGGGCCATCTCACCATTTGCGCAAAGGACCAGGGAAACTGGACAAAAACCTGATGGAGTCAAGATGAGGTCATTGGACTAGCGATTATACAGAAGCACCTCGTGTACCAACTGCCGCCTCTCGGGAAGAAGATAGTTAGGAACGGATGTTTCCGGGCACAACCAGTCCCCTAAGTGTGGCGTATGTTTTTAATGCCTCGACGTAGCTGTTTTCCTCCCAAGCTGGGTGGTGAGAGCCGGCGCCAACCTACACGTCGGCTCCCGAGATATTTTCCACTGCAGGTATCTTTCCCAAAGGGGCACCGCCACAGCCGGCACGAGCTCTAAGCTCCCGACTGGCCTCCTGATATGTGTGAATGTAAGTGGAAGTGTATTTCACTAAGAGGCGAAAATAGGGACGAGAAAGAAGAAGCAGGATCGGGTGCGGTCCGTGGCCCGTTCGTTAGGGCATTCGTCTGGAAATCACGGAAAAATTCTGATCAAACCAACCGGCCGCTAGACTTCCCTTGCAGATAGCGGACGCTTTCCACCTATTAGAATGGAGAATTCGTCACCGCCGGGGCTCGAACCCTATGACCTCCTGGCCAGAGTCGCTGTAGAGATAGCGGCAATGCTGGCTCCGAGGAAAACTCGGCCGGTGAAATTGCAAGTGATGTGAGTTAAGACGCAAATGTGTGTGTAGCAACAACTGAGTTGTAGTACACATACTTAAAAGGATGCGTGAGAATCAAATAATTGGGAATTTACGGAGGTGGACAGAGGTTGGAACTTTCCCAACAAACTCGAAAGAAAGATGAACTGAGTAGACAAATTCATGAGAAGATTATTAGAGGTATTTCCAACGATGCATTTCTCGCTAACTTTAATTTTAGAGGGCGAAATAACATTTGATTTCCTTTTATTAAGAATTTCAATTACACAATTTTCGTAAAGAAATTTTGATTGAAGTTCAAATGTATTGCAATTAAACCGTAACTTTGCTTCTGATTATAATAAGATAAATCTTAATATCATAACTGCTTTCGACTATTACTATTAAACTATTAAACAAATATTAAAACTTAAAACAGCGCTGCTAGGCTCGATCCTTTCGACGGCATAGCAGCGAGCGATTGGCGGGGCGGGGGCGAGAACGGGGGCGAGGGCGATGGCGTGTGCGAAGTGGCGTGCGGAACGGTGAGGAGGGGGCGGGAGCAGGGGAAGGGTCAGGTGGCAGGGGCAGACGATTGGCAGGGCGAGGGTGAGCGGTGAGGGCGAGGCGGAGGCGGTTTGCAAGGGCGGGGCAATGGCAGGCGGGGCGGTCAGAGGGCGAGGGAGGGGCGGGAGCAGGGCGAGCCAAGGGGTGCGGGCGCGGGCGCTGCGAGGCGCAACGTACCGAACCAGTCGTGCGCGAGAGAGCCGTTGGCTGACAGCGCTGGAGAAGGCCGCGGGGCGGCGCTGCCGGCCGCGGCGGCGGCGGCGGCCGCAGCGGCAGCAGGCGGAGGAGGGCGGCGGCGGCGCCGGCCGCCGGCCGAGTCCCGCCCACCGCCGCGCATGGCCCGCCAATTCAGGGCAGCGAGCTCGAAGCGCACCACGGCACAGCCGAATACTCGAGGCGTCTGGCGCGCGGGCGCCGACGACGCCCGGCGGGCAGAGAACATGGAACTCAGGTGTGCGGCGGGCGCCGCCGCCCCGCGCCGCGCAGCCGTCCGCGCTGTTCACGGCAGCCGCCGCCGTGTGCCGCCGCTCTCGCCCGAGCAGAGCTGTGCTGGACGTGCGTCCGGTGAACTCCTGCGGAAAGAGAGGGCACAGGTTAAGGTGCTGCGTGAATACTGATAACCTCGCCACATACACACGTAGCTACATGATCCAAGAAAGCAACTCTCAATCGTAGGAAGTGGTGCGAGAAATCACGTAAGGATGCAGGTAATCGAAAAGGGAACAAATGCAAGCACTGATTACTCATTTTGAGAACAATTTTGCATCTTGTATTCACAAGTGCTAGTCACGTGTTTCAACTGAGAAAATGGCAATGACATTACATGTCAGATGGTAATTATTTTGCATTTCACAATAATAATAATAATAATAATAATAATAATAATAATAATAATAATAATAATAATAATGAGTCCACTCAACATAATTAATAGCCGCTAACCCAAAAATTACGTAAGTTGAACAATTGGTATCGGAAGAAAACTTTCGTGAGAAACGAGAGAGTACGAGTCTCTGATGTGCTATAAATCACTAATTATAATTATGTCTTACTATATGTTTACACACTAAGTACAAAGAAGGTTTTAAGGTAAGTGTAGGAGACACTCATATCGCTCTCAACATCAGTTCAAAAGAGAATTGCAAGCATTCGCACATGCAGATTGCTCCGGAGAAATCGGTGAAAGCAGGGTAAATATTGTAATAGTATATGCACATAAATATAATGAATGACGGACGTGCGCCAGAATGCAATAATAGGTACAACAAATCTCGAGGATTCTTATTTCTCGCATTTGAAAGGGGAAAGCACATATTGGGAGGTGTTTTTACAAAGCACTTTGAAGCATGTGCATTGACAAAACGAAAACATTAATCAGGGATGGGTGAAAAGTCATTTTGATGTAGGTCGTAAATATAAAGATGGAAATGTTTCATGAACAACAATATTAGAGCACGGTTGTGCTCTGAAAATCCTCTTTTGCTAGCCTATTATGACATCTAATATCCGGCTAAAGTATTTCACATACTATCTAAACACACAAAAAAATCACAAAATAAACGTGTAAACATGGAGACAATTTATATAGATATTAACACACAAAAATAAAAATATACCTTTCTAGGAAATCTTATAAATCTACACTATGCAAAGTAAAAAGCTGGGGGGGGGGGAGAAGGGGCTAGCTAAGCAAGGTTAAGCGAACTCACCTTGATAATTTTCCTTTCGTTTTGCTTAGGGGACAAAAAGATAACTAGCATGAGAACAATTTGCGAGCGTCTAACGCGAAAGACGTGGAAATCGCTTAACTATGGAGTATGGGTCATGATCCTGGAGCGAGGGGTCGAGGGTATGGATGTATCTAGTTGGGTCCTGGCACATCTGATGATGCAAGAGACTAACTGATCAAATAAATTACTAAAGGCTAAATTTTAGGAAACAATATAATCAATAATAAAATAGTTCGTTATCTTGTTATTAGGCAAAGAAATTGATAACCTTAGGAAGGCCTCTCCGAATTTCAGGGAACGTGAAAATGAAGTGATTGTGTGAATTCTCAGACTTTTTTTTATAAACTATCTAACAAGACATGAAGAGAAAAACAATGACATATTCTATTTGATAACGATTAAGTGTTACCAAACATCCGAACAGAAACTGATTCACACTCAAAATTTAAATCAAGAAACCACTATGGAATTCAAATTCTTAAAGAAATTCTGTGTTATTTTGTCAAACATTGCAAAAATTATCGAGGTTCATTTTCGTTACATCTTCGTGTATACTAATCGAAAGTGTTTCGTATACGACGATTCTTCAACAGTAGATGGACCCATACCAACGTACCGCACTTCGCACATCATTCTCTTGAAACTAAAAAATTTTTCAATTTTCACACAGCTTCACACTGGATCCGAACTTCGAACGGCCAACTCGGGAACTGCACGTGTTAGCATTACGAGCTCAGTCGTGAGCAATTGGTAACCATGTTAATATTTCTACGAGTTTATTAAAACAACCACAAAGACTTAGACCAGTGCGATTAAATTGCATAGAATTTCAAGTAGTCTATTTCATATCACTCCGATTTCAACATTCTGCTCGTTTTTTAACACCTGTGAAAGGTAGTGGAAGCACCCAGAAGAAGTAAACCCCCAAAAACGTAACAGAAGGTTCACAAGGCTATCATTTTGTAGAATGCGATTGGTAACCATGCTGATATTTCTAAGAGTTTATTAAAACAATCAGAAATACTTAGACCAGTGCGATTAAATGGCAAAGAATTTCAAGTAGTCTATTTCATATCACTCAGATTTCAATATTCTGCTCGTTTTTCAACACATGTGAAAGGTAGTGGGAGCACCCACAAGAGGTAAACTCCCAAAAACGTAACATAAGATTCAGAAGACTTTCACGTTGTAGAATGCAGTCTAAGGTTCACCTGTTTCTCCACATGTTTCCCACAAGTTCACAGCATGTTCTTCTACATGTTAAACTGGAAACTGAAGTGGAAATCCAGACATTTACTTTTAAGCCGCTTTAAGTTTCAAGAGCTGACAATGCCTCGTTTTCGAGTGTTGCACGAAATGGTAACGGGTGCTGCGGGTTGGATCCGTATATCTTATTTTTAAGTGTTTACTATTAACGAGGAATATAATGTTAAATTAATGAATTTGTCACACACCCGTGGTCGTGACGCTTCCAACCGACGTTCATTTATGCCATTCCCTTACGTACTTTTCTTAATATAAGTTTTAAAAAGATCGTAAGAAAAGTGAAAACAGTAGTGACATAATATACAAAGATATTCAGACGAAAACCGAGCTCTTCTTTTTAAATCAAAAATTTAATGCGATAAAAAAATAGGTGGTAACCTTGAACGCAACCCGTTAAAAATTCCCAAACACAAACGGAATACGCTGAAACAAAGATGTTCAGACGGAAAACGAGAGGTTTTTTTAAATTTAAAATTCAATGCGATAAAAAATAGGTAGTCACTTTGAACGCAACCCACTAAAAATTCCCAAACCCAAACGGAATATGCTGCTACGGACGCCAGGCCCCGCGGGAGCGAGACGAGAAGCGGCGGGGCAGGGCGGGGCGGGGCGGGGCGGGGAGGGAGGGCGGGGAGGGGGGACGGGCGGGGAGGCGGGAGGGGAGGGCGGAGAGGGGCGCGGGAGGGCGGAGGGGAGGGGCGGAGAGGGGCGGGGGGGGAGGGCGGAGAGGGGCGGGAGGGGGCGGGCGGAAGGGGGCGGGGCGGGCGGGGGCGGGCGGCCGGCGTGGAGCAGCGACCGGTAGCGCGCGGGCGCCGTCGGGGGCTACCGGGAAGCGCGGGGCGAGTTTTTCCCTGCACTGCCCAGGGCGCCTTCTCGGAAGCGAGCGGGCCCGCCAGCCCCCGCGCCGCAGACGGCCGCTACGCGCCGATGGCCGGCCGGTGCATATCCGCTCCGTCCAACCCCGATCGGGCGGAATTGCCGGGTACACCACGCGGCAATTCTGAACAAACAACGCCGACTTGCGACGAAAACGCATCTGGCGACATGTGAGTACTATGCGAAAACTGGGTACTAGCGAAACGTGAGAAGATGAGGGGAGGATCAGACCAGCTCGCCTCTCAGGCGCTTTCTCTCAGTGACAGTTCCACGCTCGGTGGTTCCCACAGCAAACAAATATTCAACCCTTCCCCGTGACATGGTGACGTAAAACCCACTGAGACACTGGCGACCAGCACTGAGACCATGGCGGAAATCAAGAACGTGCAGCATTTCCAAGAACTAATCAATTCACCAGAAGACCCTATCCTGTTTGTCTATCTCGTGACGTTTGGCACCGACAGTGCAACGTAGCGTCCTGTGAGAGCGTAGGCTTCCGCGTCCGGAGTCAGTATTTACTAGGCTGTCCGGGAGACGCCGCGTCCATGGCGAAGGTGCCGACGTTTCGGTCGCCATTCTGCGACCTTCCTCAAGACGCCGAACTCCATGCTGGCATTACGCCCTGAGGAAGGTTGTAGAATGGCGTCGGCACCTTCGCCATGGACGCGGCGTCACCTGGACAGGCAAGTTAATACGTAGCTTCCTCCAGACGATTTTTTGGGAGAGCGCGCGAGGACGTGTGTGCTTTCTTTCGTTGCTATTAAATTGAGGCAACAAACTTTTAGTTATATTACAGACGTTTACCGGGCAAAGGCACAAATTATATTCATCAGTTCCATTTTTACGAACTATACTGTATCCGTATACTGTATAAAGAATTGCGTTTACAATGTAACGCATTAATTACTGAAGGATACATGCTGAAATGTGTATGTGTAAAGGATTTGAAACAGAAAAGCAATAAAAATAATTGAATAAAAATAGTCAATACGAAAGTCTTAAGATGACTTACAAATTTCCAAAACTGGTAAAAGTTCCAAAATCCAAAACTAGTCTTCCAGCTAATTTCTTGCTCTTTGATGAAACAGAAACTAACTATATGACACACACAAACGGAGATTTACCCAATTAGGTGGAATGAAGAACTTTAGATTCGGATATTATTGAAGTGTTGCCGCATTCTGGTTTTAGTTCAATGATAAACAATCATTATTATTCACTAATTTGATTCAACCATCTTCCTGCTGTTTTTAGAAAAGATTTTTCATTAATCTAAAGCTTCCGAGATTTTTTGTCAAAGCATAATAAACCTCCATCATTTCCGATCAGAAAAGAAGTAACGCTTGATGATTATTCACAGCAATTCAAAAGGAAATGACACGAGAATAGCAAATTAATGTAAAGGAAAAATCAATATTGGTACCACTTTACAAATTTACAAGGGTTATAACATTGCAATTAATTTCTGACACCGCTTTCATGAAATAAGCATTCAACGTAGAATCAATAATGTTAAATATCATCTATGTTAACGAATTTCCACTGGCGCTAATGTTCCGCCAACCGAACC